AGGACCTTGTGTTTTTTTTTTTTTTTTTTTTTTTTTACCATGACCTCCACTAAATTTAGTCTAATAAGACTTCGAGTTTTCTACTGCCTATTTATCTACATACCTTCTTTATATTAGGCATTTAGCCTGTCTATTATGTGTATGAGCAAGCGCTGAGTTTTTGAATTTTTACATTTACTTTACAACTGCAAAAAGATGTTAATTAGTGCTGTTCTTTCCAACTGCAGCGGGAAGTAACAGAACACCACAAATGTGTCATAAGACGATGTAGGAATAAAGAGGCAGAGATCACACCAAGTCACATCACGTACATTTTCTAGCATTTTGGCTGCTGCTGTAAATTAATTGCTTGATACCTTTGGTAACTGTCAACACAGGTGCTTAAGATTATTCAGCACACAACATGCAGCGGCATAACAGCAGGTTATTTAATGTAAGACCGACTGCAGATTGAAAGCATCTCCTGATGAAGTAGCATAGATAAAATGTGGTATTTGTTGATCTTTGCTGATGAGATTGTTGAAATTTAGGAAAGAAAATTGCGTTCATTTCAAATGTGGACTCACATGCAACCTTTCTGTGGTGATAAACCCCTTTTCATTCGACTTGTGTGTCTCCCGTGTCACTAAAATGTCAATCAGCAATCATGGCAACTATGCAGTTATCTTTCTTGGTGCTCTGTTAGTAAAATGTTTCCCAGTTTTAAACCATTTGAAGAAGGTTGAATCTATTTTCATCAGCTAACTTATACCATTCGTAACCTACTGTCAAGATCTTCTAAAGACATAAGGACACAACAGCAATATGATGTATAAAAAGAGGTTTTCATGACCATTCAGTCTGGTTAAATCACAGCCCATGTTCCCTGTCCTTTGTCCAGTCGTCACGAGTTCACATCACCCGGGCGGTCCTTGAACAGTTCCTGTCCTTCGCCAAGTATCTGGATGGTTTACCTCATGGAGCGCCGCTCCTCAAACAGCTCTGTGACCATGTCCTCTTCAACGCTGCCATCTGGATACACACCCCTGCCAAGGTCTGTTTATACATGTGTGTGTATCTGTGGAAAATGTGTGCGTGTATGTGTGTGTGTTTTCATGACCTTGCTGCTACATATTCTGATATCCTGAATACGAGAATTAATGGGGTGATAGACTCAGAACAGGCATGAGAGATGGTGTGAAATGGAAAAAAAAAAAGGATTTGTGTGAATGCAAGGAAAATTGAAACAAGCAGACAATATAAAACAGAGTGGAAGGAAATCCTGACATCCTAGTGGCCCTTTGCAATAATATAACAAAAGAGGAAAAGAGGTTGCAGTACACAGAAGGAGGAGCCGACACTTCACGCGAGGACAGGACAGAACACGCAAGCAAAGGAAACAAAGAGAAAAAGTGACATTTGAAAGACCCCAGGACAGGAGAGAGATGTGTGCGTCCTCTCTTCACTCTCGCTCTGAACTGGATGTGAGTGTTCCTGGCGTTCTCGCGGGGCGAAATCAGCTCTTGCTTCCATTATTTTCAAAACTTCCTGACTTCCCTGTCTTCGACCCTCTGACCCTGAGATGTGATTGGCTCTTGGGCGCAGCAGCACAGATCTCCGGGGCCTGCTGGAGTTAAGATGAGAGAAACGCAAGCAGGAGAATAAGGAAGGTGTGAAAGAGTAACCGTACAAACCTTGGTTAACATGTCACCGTGAAATGGCCCAAAGGGGCTCGACGGCTATTGTGTCTTTACTTGCAATCAGACAATGAATTGCCATTAAACATTACAGCAATTTAGAAGGGTCGTAATGAGAACATGACAAGAATAATAAATGTATTGGGCGGCAACACACACTAAAATCTTTAATCCTTTAATCTTACTTCTCTTGTACAATTCTTTCTCCCACTGAGCTTTATTATTTTCCACTTCTCGGGGTGTTATCAGCACCTTCATTATTGGCAAGAATAACCTTGGTCATATTCAGGACTTAATGAAACACTTCAAGAAATCACATCTGACTCTCATCTCCCATCTCTCATAACATCTTCCCTGCTCGGTGCTGGAAAATAAAGAGCCGCTTTTCTTTACCAGGCTTATTTGTTACAAGCTATTGATGCATCGGTGCGGCCCAAACTATTGTGCAGTGCTTTGATCAAGGAATTTCAGGGTTTTCTCTGCAGCTGAACCCGTCGCAAATGGCACACAGATAAGAAAAAAAGCAAAAAGCAAAAAAAAAAGCATCAGCTAAATGTGTGAAATGTAATGTAATGAAGGCCATTTAAACCAGCTGAGTGCATTCTCCATTCTAGATGAGCTGCGGTGCGGTGTGGTCCGCTAATTTCATCCGCTTAAACAGGGCTACCTCGTTAAGGCCGGTCCTCAGCGCCGCGGTCACTGTAATGAGCTCAGAGATTTGTGAGTGTGCCGCAGACTCTGTGACTGTGTACGAGGAGAGAGGAAGGCAACAGAAGGAGGCAGGGAAGGAGCAAATGAACAACTGGAGAGCGCCCTCCTTAAATGTCAGCGCTGCGTGTGGAGCTCCTCAGATGCTTGACGGCTTCAGGCACAGAGACATCAAAAATAACACAAAGCAGAAAACATTGGAGTTTCTGCTGGAGGGAAGTTTCCTCTCATTCCCCCGTGGCTGTTTTTTCACAATAAAACTGCCTTTTTGTTTGAACACCATAAACACACGCAGATGATTTGTTTCTCCCCAGTAAGCTTCTGACAATTTGTGTTTGTCTGTCGACTTTTGTAAGTGTCTTTGTACCCATATTATGTACTGTATTAATGCGTGTGTGTGCATGTATGTGTGTGTGTGTGTGTGTGTGCGCATGTGTTTAGGTCCAGCTGTCCCTTTACACATACCTTTCATCGGAGTTCATCGGCACCGCCACCATCTACACCACCATCCGCCGTGTGGGCACCGTCCTGCAGCTGATGCACACTCTTAAGTACTACTACTGGGCGATCAACCCGCTGGAGTGCAGTGGAATCACCCCCAAAGGTCTCGGTAGGTTCCCATGCGCACACAGTTTGCACACATGAGGGCTCACAATTCAGAGACAGTATGCCTGACCTTTTATATACTGCACACATACTTCACATACTGCGCATTTCTTCTGTCCTCTTTCTCCATTTCTGGCTCAAAGTCTCCCGCTTTGTACGCTCCATCCCTTCTTCTTCTGCACAGTCTTTACTGTCTCGTCCTCTGTCTTTACTCATCTTAAACATAGTAAACATCTCTGTGTAACACAAAGTTATTACAGCATCCTCTCACATCCTCACGAAGAGAAGTACGCACAGCTCCAGTTTCCACTTAACAAGTCTTAGAAATATATTAACAATGAATTTATGTAAACACGTTGTAACGTCATTGTCTGACACACCGGCAAAAAAATGACAATCCGATAAGTATGCAGCGATTGGCCAGGCGTGCACAGGTAAGTAGAACTTCTCACACCAGCAATTTCTTTCTCCTTCATTACACAATTGTGTCTTACACTTTTCGTGTGAGCACAACACTATGAATGCCTTATTTATATGATTATCACGCCTTGCTGCCTCTCTATGTTCAAGTGTGGCGTTAAAAAGAAAACCACTATAAAAACTTTTTCCTTCCAATGCGGTTGGACGACACGTTGCGCGAACTAGTTCTTTTGGAACAGACCCCCTCCTGTACAGTTTCCAGTTCACTTGACCTGCTTGTCTTTGGACTGTGGGAGGAAACTGGGAGAAATCCACACCAACACAGGTAGAAGATACAAACCCCAAACACGAAGATTGAATCCCATAGTAAGCCCCGTTTGTAGTGACGGGACATTAATCATTTATATCATATTTACAATAGATATACAGTGGGTATTGAAACCTGTATTTATAATGATGTTTGGCTTATTCTAAGACTATGATGGCCTGTCTATATCTATTAATTTGAAATGTTTATTTTGTAATTATGTCCTGTCCAGAGTTCTTTGTGCTCTGCGATGGGAAGTGCTGCTGACGCGAGCCTAAGTAGCCCATTGAGACATTGTGCGAGATATCGACAGTAGGAATAAACTTGAACTGACTCCACTTGATATAGGATTTCGTTAAATCAGCAGCTCTCTCAAAGGTAGCTGGTGACTCTCCATTAGCGCAATTTACAGACGCAATTGACCTTTTTGAAACGAAGACATTACCAGGGAAAGGCTTCTATTGATTAATACATAGAGCATGTGAGCTTTGCATTTTTAAATATGAATTTTCTTGGCCACCTTCACATTATGCCATAGTATTAAAGAGGTCAAACCCAAGAGGGTCTTAACTCCACATAAGTCAAATACCATCTATACTTTTATACTATATCTACATTATGTCCGAATCTACGCAATAATCTGCACCTTTGCACTCTTGTTGAAGATTTCCTTGATTGCTGTTTAAACAGTCATTGGAGAATTTTTCATTTTTCTGTAATATAATGTCTCCATTCCTCAAGATCTGACTGTGACAGTCTCGATTACAGAGTAAAGCAGCAAAACACGAGAAGCTGTAATTTTGTGTGTCAGTGTGGTAGGAAATCATCACATATTAGGTGACTTTGTATTATAACTTGAATGATCAGTGTGTATTTTTAAGCAGAGGGAATATTTTCTTTGTAACCACAAGCTTTTCCACTGTTTTGAGGAACTTTGACACTTTTTATTCATCATTTCAGACTTGATTTTTATTCAGCCTTGATTCTAGAGTATTCACAGTTACTTGAAGTAAAAAAGAATTGCTTTTAATTATATTTGGTAGGCCTATGAAAAGATGAGCTTTTTAAGAGGAAGTTTTTGTTTTAGGTTAAAGCTGGAAAAAAAAAAAAAAAACCCCATGAAGACCAAAAGTCGATAATCAATGGGACGTGATTATCTAACTGATTATGAAATGGCTATGAATGCAAATGTGCAGAAACACCTTATGGTCAGTTATGTCATACATGTACAGCTTTGGTAAATTGCATAAAATACAGATGGCTATTTAAACATCACTTCAACACGGTGATAAAGGTCATTTACGCTACACACAGACACACGCATGCATTTAGATGGTGTAAGTGCTCTGTAACTCTCCCTTCCCTGAACAACCATTGTTGTTGCTGGATGCTCATGAGCTCTCTGGTGAAAATGTTTCTGTGTATATGAGAACGAATAAGACTCATTGTAGAAGAAGAGATTTCAAAATCCAATTTTCCCCAGTAAATAACTAATAGTTAAGATAGTGTTTATTTGCCTGCGCAGCCTGTGAATCAGAAATCTCTTTTTTGAACTGAAATGCGAGCACATGCTTTCTGTGACTGCAGTGTTTATATGATTTGTCTGTATTTGAAAAAAAAAAAAAAAAAAATCAATTCTATTTAAAAAATTGTATTCCAAGCACAACACAGTAACAAATCAGATTCAGTATTTTCAGAGGCTTTGTAATAGAGCAGAGAACAGCGTCAACACAACCACTGCTGCCACACAGCAGAGCTTCAGAAAGGTCGGAGCGGGCCTTTCACTTTAATCAACCTCTTCCTTTGACCGGGAGCCTGCCGCTGACTACGAGTGCGCATCCCGCGTTGCCATGGCAACAGACAGATTTGATTGGCAGATCCAAGGGAGCTTTTGGAATTTCTAATCAAGTGGCTGTCTGGCTTCCTTTCTGTTTGGCAATATTGCGGTTTGACTACTGGGATTTAGTCCCATAAAGAGCCACTGATAACGGCAGCAATTAGCCTCAGACGCGTGCTAATGGTTCGTTCAAAGCTAAAGGATGTGCAAGTTGTGGTTTTGGAAGTCTGCATATACGAATGCTTGACTATACAGTAAGGGTGTGATATGGAATTAATGGAATTAATTAACATAGCAATAGACAGATATTTTAAACACACGCTTTGGGCTTTGTGGATAAAAATGTATTTAACTTTGCCTCAGTTTGAAGTAATTAGATTGAATTCAAGTTGCAGATATACAGTTTTTCTCTTTTTTTTGCATGAGTGTATTATTATTCAGCACAGGTTAGAACTACATTGTTCCTCTCCATGTTTTTCCTCATGTTTTACAAATAACTCCATTTGATTTTTGGCTGAAAATTGCTTGCAGTACCACAGAAAGGGAAAGGCTGTATCTAATGAAAACACCTCGGGCCTCTTGCACTGGTCAGGTACATTGTTTTTGAACTCTGCAGCTACATTATACTACAACAAAAAACAGTGATTAAATGGCTTCTGTTGAGAGAAACAAGAATGCAGCTGAAACAAATGAATAATGACGTACTGTAAAATATTTATATGCCTATGTTTTATTCATTTATTCAGCTTTTTCTAAAAGGTTTTATCCTGCTAGCCTCAGTGTGCCCTTTCTTTTTGTTTTTTATTTAACTCTTTGATACCTTGTAATGTATTGTTACATAATGACATTTGACTAGTTTTTACACGCCACACATTCACAGACGGACAAACTGACTCATATGTTTACATGCATTCACACACACTAAAACTCATCGACTCCTCACAGGTTGCAATTACCTGGCAGAGAAATGACTGGATAAAATGGTCGAGTCGGGTTAGCATAAAAACAGCACATGAAGAAGAAGAAAATTAATTTCAAAGAGTAAAAGAGGATAATTAAAGCTGCCCCTGGGAAACGCTTTATGTGATTATAAGCTTTCTTCAAACCCTCTGTTAACAAAAGACCCCTAAAAGGAGCTTGCACTCGGCGCTCACACGTTCACCTGGAGCACGCGCGCACTCGTTTTTTGACACGAGAGCTGCTGCGAAACCATGATGGATGGGCGAGTGTCACCATTCCACCAATATGCACCAGCTTGACACGTAATGATGATGGATCGTGGGGGGATCGCGTCAGTGTCATGTTTTGCTTTTGTGAAGAGCAGGTGAACAGACAGAAATACTGATTCAATGCCAGCAGAACATGACAAAAGAAGAAGCGTCAAATTTTCTTCCTTTCACACCCTCAGTCTTTTTATGTTCCTCTCAGCTTCCTCCCGCAGCTTCGGGTCAGATATCGGTTTAAATGTTCTGAGAGGATGAGGTGCATTTTTATTCATCGTACGATAAACGCTGTGTGTAGCTGCAGCACTTCTCCCTCTGGCCGTTTCCAGACACCCTGACACAGCAAAGTGTGGAGTGGCAAATGCACACAAGCCGGACATCATAAATGTTTATCGTTGCCTTATAAACCCTAACAAACCGCTGTTGGCTACGCAGAATGCTGATGAGAACATGTAGCTTATGAGCTTCATCGTGTGGCGAGTGCTTGTTTCTTAATAACGTCCGAAGAAGAGCAGTAGAGGAAGATGGAGAATGAGCGGGGACGTAGGGAAGTCAACGGGAGCATTAAAGGAGAACGTGCCCCTTATTTTTAAAGGGTGGGTCTTATTTCATTCTATCTTTGATCTGAATCAATGCATCTTTTAGACTTTTTGGCACCATATTCCATTAGTGAGTTCTTTGGCAGCCATTTTGAGCCAATTCATCATTCCAGTGTATCTGACGTGCACATTAAACACCTCAGAAATGAATGAAACACAGTTACATCAATAAAAAAACGCAATGCCAACATCTGAGTTGTCAGTTTTGTTCCTAAACATTTTTAAAAAGTGCTGCTGTGCCATTGTTTCATGGAGATAGACGGTGCAGCTTAATGTAGCCAAATGTCAGAATGAATAAACACAATGTTGAAAGACACAAAGCTGCACGAATGTGAAAGTGACGGCTCTTTGTGGCTGTTAAAGTATGTTTTTTTTTTAAAGGTAATGGAGGTCTGTGGCATTTATGAAACGCAACAGGTAAAAGCCTCAAGAACGGCTAAAGACATCAGACCTTTTAGAAAGAGGCGATTGCATCATACCCGCGAGAGAAATGGCTCGTTCCATGTGTCAGGGGCTTTTGTGTTTTTAGCTTGATTATGTCTTCGCAGCCCGCCACAGAGCTGATGGAGATGCAGTGGATTGCGTTGCCTTGTTTGGTTGGGATCATTTGGACCATCAGTCACATGTTTGCAAATTGCAATGTCTTTCCTGTAATCATTTAAATTAGTGCAACTATAAAATACCCAGATTGCCAAACTGCCTCTGGAGTTAATGAGTGATTTACGCTTCACAGTTCTATCAGTGTGTGTGTGTGTGTGTGTGTGTGTGTGTGTGTGTGTGTGTGTGTGTGTGTGTGTGTGTGTGATAACATGTTTTTCTCTGCTCCCCAGGAAGCCTAATAAAATCTAATATCAGTAAACAGCGGCGCTCACTCAGCCTGAACTACAGACTTATTTAGCTGATCAGTATCGTGTATAAAAATGGATTTTTTTAACAGGAAATTATTCTTTTGTTTGTGTGTGTGTTTGCGTAGACGGACCTCGGCCGTCCCAAAAGGAGATCATCTCGCTCAGAGCCTTCATGCTTCTCTTCCTCAAACAACTCATTCTAAAGGTACAGCGAGAGGAACGGATTATCTTCATCACATTGTTTAAGATGAAAGAACTCACTTTATTTTTTTTCTCTCACTATGTCCTCTGTTGTTTTTCTCCCTCCTGGGAACCATTAGCTTAATCTACAATGTGTGTGTGTGTGTGTGTGTGTGTGTGCGTGTGTGTGTGTGTGGAGAATCGCATTATAGATCAGAAGCCTGAGTGAAGCACTGTAGCTTTTGTTGTTTTGTGAGTGCTCGTGCATGCGTTTAGATGTGTGTGCGGTTGTTTCTGCTTCACAGTTAAAATGCATCAACCAAGAACAGAATCAGTGAAGTCATCTGAGGTTAACAGGGTGTAAACCCCCCCCCCCCAAAAAAAAACAAAAAAAAAAAAAAACAAAACAAAAAACAACAACTGAAGATCATGAATGTTTTTGTTGAAAGATGCTACATCTTTTTTCCCACAGGACCGGGGCGTGAAGGAGGACGAGCTGCAGAGCATTCTCAACTACCTACTGACCATGCATGAGGTAGATGCTGTTTTATGTTGAAACAGTCGGTGTGACAGAGAGACAGTGAGAGCGGCTGAGTGGAGCTGGTGGCAAAATGTGCATTAAAATTTGTGGGCTGGAGTTATGGTCCACTTAAACGAGCGAGAGTGTGAGTCAGCTTCGGCGCTGTGACAGCATGAAAAATGGTGCAACAATGGACTGAACAGAATGTACTCCTCTGTAACAATTATATCTATTCTTGCTCTGAAATGCCACATGCTCCTCCGCAGTCCCCCCCCACCCCTCCACCCCTTCCCACTGCATGCCCACCCCTACAACTCTCTCTTTGTCCTCTTAACCCTCTATTCATCTGTCCCATCGGGGCTTCCTCCTTCTCCTTTGTTCACCTGTGCAACTTTGCCTTTCTTTTCTCTGCAGGATGAGAATATCCATGACGTGCTTCAGCTGCTGGTGGCTCTTATGTCTGAACACCCGGCGTCCATGATCCCTGCGTTTGACCAGAGGAACGGAATAAGGTGAATACTGCCCACACATGCTGCACACGCACACATATACAGATCTGATGCAGCACCAGCTCCTTACCGACATGAAAGAAGTAATCTTTTCTTTGTGAGATATTGATTCTAATCATATGGTTAGGGCTTTTCTGTTGGTGTGTTTTTATTACAACAAGTAACCAACACACATACAACAGAAATAATGCACTATTATTCATTTCAATATATAGAAAAATAAAAGATTTTTGTATTAATAGACAAATTAAGTTGAGCTGCAAAAACTTAAAGGCCATACCTTATACAACTGAAATCTTTTTACAGTGCAGTTGCATTTTACTTTCATATTTACTATTACTGATACGTATTAAGATTCAAAGTAAGTTCAGATTTTTTTTTTTTTTTTCAGATTTTAAAAGCAGGAAGAGATTTGCACTTGTCATTTTTATTTTACAAAATAACATTCTTGATCTATCTTTTGCAAAACAGCACAATCTTGCTGAAAAAAAAAATTATATACTGTATATAAAAAAAAAAATCCATTGTTATCCTTCCATTGTTTTTTTTCCTTAGAATTAAGGTCTCTGTGATGAGCCAATGATAGGAGCTTTTATGGTGTCACCAGCCGGACCACATCACATCGTATATGTATTTGCTATCTCAGTCTGATTGTGCGGTAAAAGTTTACATCTGAGGCAAAAAGTGGAGTGTCAAAATGGATAGCAGGTTAGCAACAGGAAGAGTTAAATGTTTCTCCTGCCTTCAGTTCAGTCCTGAATGGCCTCCATATTGTTATAAGGGTCGGATGTGGGCCGCCAACATTTTTCAGATTTTCAAGTGGGCCGTGAGTTGGTGAAGGTTGAGAACCACTGCTTTACTGTAGATTGAATACAATGTTACGTTACATACAGTGTACAAAGGGTAGCCTCAACCAATCAGTCAGATGTCTTTCAAAGACGGCATCAAACTGTGCTGGTATTTCCCCAACAGCACAACTACACATGGATGTCTTTTTGGTTGCTATGGTAACTCCTCTGTTGTCAGAGAGGTAGTTAACACACACCGTTTTTTTTTTTTTCTTCTTACTTTTATGTCCTCTGAGTGCAATCCTTTGAAGAAAATCCTTCAGTCAGCGCATTGTTAACGTCGAGGATGTTTACTGAGTATCAGGCAGCAGGTGTTTAACTTTACTACACACTGCACACTTTGCTACACACACGGAAGAACTCAGTGCGGCTGTGTGTTTCGCATGTTGCAGGGTGATCTGCAAGCTCCTGGCCTCGAAGAGTGAGAGCATCCGAGTCCAAGCCCTCAAAGTCCTGGGCTACTTCCTCAAGCACCTTGGTCACAAGTGAGTACCTCTTTGTCTCTGTGCTTTCTATCTGCTATATTCCCCTTTGTGGGGTGTCAGGTGGTCTTTTATTCTTTTTTTTATTCTGTCACTACTAAACTCAAATGCTGCATCAGAGTAGGGAGATTGAGAGGCCTCACACTGCAGTAAAAACTGAAGAACTACAGCAGTGCAGTCTCCTGTGAGCCTTAGAGGAGCTGGTGTGTGTGTGTGTGTGTGTGTGTGTGTGTGTGTGTGTGTGTGTGTGTGTGTGTACATAAAGATAATGTCCTCATCATCACATCCACAAGGCGGAATAATAATTTTGACAGCGTGCACTGGCAGGGAGGTGGAACCTTGATGAGCAGCAATGAATGCTGGGGGATTTATTCATCCCATGCGACATAACACGCCCCTTACTGCACAACATGGGGGCAGGCTGCCATGCTGCACCTGAGCCCCGCACCTTCAGCCCCCCCACCTACCTAATATCTGCTCAAACCAAGCATCCCGTGGGGCATCCTGTATGACACACACACACACAATACACAATTTCAATATATTTTCATAACAAGGTCAATTAATGCTTAAATCTTTAACATAATCTATTTTCATGTGATTTACCATCTGTTGAATAAAAAAAAAACAGAAATAAACCAATGTAGATTATACTGTGTTTCCTGAATGTAGGTTGAGAGTTAATGTTATATCTAATAAATAATTTTATTTTGAAGTTTTCTTTCAAAATTAGATGTTAAGTCAAGCTAGTCATGAACTGAAGATGACTTTCACCACATAATAATGTTAAGTTCTAAAACAGCTGTCCTCTACAGTGACCCGCCACTCTTCCTGCGCTTATGTATTAGTGAGTATAAAGAAAAACAAAGGCCATTAATTTGGCAGTCCGTTACTTCGTTTGACATCTCCTCATTACTTGAAAATGTGATGAATAAATATCCTGGATCTGTTTGCTGCTTATGACAGGCCAAGATTTGTGGACATAATGTGCCCTCAGTTATATTTGTTCTGTTTGTTTTTTAAATTTAATTTGCTCAGACCGACCGGGGCGTTGAAAAAAACAATTCGCAGTTTCTGTAAAATGTAATTATCCTGTTTAAAGGGTGAATTAGAATTGAACCGATTACACCGATTGAAAAACGTATTCCAGACTTGATGATGACAGCTAAATGATGATTTAGGATTTGCTGCATATACAGTATATAAGATTAAATATAGTACATTTCTAATGGCCTGATTACAGCCAGGATTATACAGGAGCTTTGATAATTATTCATTTAATTCAATTTTAAAGACGTTCAAAGTTAGTCAACCCTGATTTCTGAGCCTCTCAAGTTGAAATCCTCTTAGAGACACAATTATCACCTACTGGCAAGGTGAACAGTCAAAATCAGTAATTCACAGTCATGTGAGCGTTGCCTCCGTGACTCCTGCAGTGTTCTGCCGTTCTGTTAATTTCTCTTGCTGGTGTTAATTCCTCGTCCTCTTTAGTCCCATCATAACTGACAGGGCCACATGGTGCTGCCTGCCAATATTCGCCTGTCATCAGGCCAGTGACAATCAATGTCAGTTTCAACTGTCGTAAATTCTGTTATGAATGGCAGTCTCTCTCTCTCTCTCTCTGTCTGTCTGTCTGTCTGTCTGTCTGTCTCTCTCTCTCTCTCTCTCTCTCTCTCTCTCTCTCTCTCTCTCTCTCTCTCTCTCTCTCTCTCTCTCTCTCTCTCTCTCTCTCTCTCTCTCTCTCTCTCTCTCTCTCTCTCTCTCTCTCTCTCTCTCTGTCTGTCTGTCTGTCTGTCTGTCTGTCTCTGTCTCTCTCTCTCTCTCTCTGTGTTCCCCTGCAGGAGGAAGGTAGAGATCATGCACACTCACAGTCTGTTCACACTGCTGGGGGAGAGGCTGATGATGCACACTAACACCGTCTCTATCACCACCTACAACACTCTGTATGAGGTAGGTGATTGTTTGGCGGCGTCTCGTTCACACTCTCCATTACTATAGCGAAGTACATGAAATGATGCGCTTCTAGTTTATTTTTAGTCGTCGCAGAGTTCAGGTGATTGTCCCGGCGTTTAATTTGCGGCTGTCCATCTTCTTCTACCTGTGCAGATTCTCACAGAGCAGGTCTGTACTCAGGTGGTTCACAAACCCCACCCTGAGCCCGACTCCACCGTCAAGATCCAGAATCCAAGTAAGTACAAAATAAAGAAACGGTAGCTCTGTCTCTCCGTGTTCTTTGGTCTGCCAGTAATGCAGTGTTGTTTTAATGCCAGTAAACAAACAACAAAGCCTGAATTCAGAAGCCGACACTTCTTCCATCTCCTGCTTATTGATCTGCCTCACTCTCTCCTGTCCCTCACATTTTTCCCTCCAATTCAAAATACTTTTTATATATTTGCTGCTCCCACTCTCTCATTTTGTTCTGATTCTCCCCTTCCTTTCCCCATTACCCAATTTTTGCCTCCCACCCAGTGATTCTAAAGGTAGTGGCGACCCTCCTGAAGAACTCCACTCCCAGCGCTGAGCTGATGGAAGTCAGGAGACTCTTTCTTTCCGACATGATTAAACTCTTCAGTAACAGCCGCGAAAACCGGCGGTAAGATCACGCAAACGACTGTACATTTATCCGGCTGCATGTTATTCGCTTCTCACAGCGATTGTTACAGTTTCCATGTGAAGGTCACGCTGTAGTTCCCCCCGCTCACATTCAGTGTTTTGTGTTGTGTACCAGCTGCCTGCTGCAGTGCTCCGTGTGGCAGGACTGGATGTTCTCCCTCGGATACATCAACCCCAAGAACCCCGAGGAGCAGAAAATAACTGAGATGGTGTACAACATATTTAGGATCCTGCTGTACCACGCCATTAAATACGAGTGGGGAGGGTGGCGAGTCTGGGTCGACACCCTGTCTATCGCACACTCCAAGGTAAGAGTGGGATATGTATTTTTCCGGCATCATATTTCTGGTAGACTTCTTGATCATTTATCATCCTTTGTTCAAGGGATTAATGTTAAAAATATCGACGGATTGATACTGATTTCTCAGATCTGGCAGGTTTGGAGAGATCCTTATGGAACAGCATATCCTCCCTGTTTAAAATCTATTGCACCAAAAATAAACACAGTACTGGTGATAATGATTTGTAGGTATTGATATTTTAACTGAAACGATCATAAAGGCGAAACAAACGTGTATTGATTTGGACATATCGACTATTTTTAACTCTACGTCTTGGTTCAATGACCTGCAAGGCCCAGAATGATTCATTATAGATATAATGCTCAATAACTGATGCGTGTTTTTTTTTTTTTTTTTCACTGTGCAGTGGTGGAAATTTAACCCATTTTCTGATGGTAGTGCAAAAGTGAGGGGACATTATGGATGATGGTCTAATGGCCCTTTTAGGCCATTGTCCCAGTTTTATCCACCCAGCCTTTGGTACAGATTATCTATGAGCCCTACCTGATGGAGACATTATTCAGGTGGAGGTTAGCTACTGTCAGTGCTTGTGTTCCGATCACAACCAATTACGTCCCCTCCATCTGTCACAGGTGACCTACGAAGCCCATAAGGAATACTTAGCTAAAATGTATGAGGAGTACCAGCGTCAGGAGGAGGAAAACATGAAGAAGGGGAAGAAAGGCTCTGTGTCCACCATCTCTGGTCTTTCTGCTACGCCCACCCCTGTTGTCAACGGCAACCTGGAGATCGACGACAACTCCCAGACGCAGACCCCCGAGAGCGAGGCTGAGTATAGCGAGGGGGCTGGCGGAGACTCGCGCAACCTCCTCGCAGAAGGCGCTGTGAAACGACCCAACGGGGAAGCCCTGACACCCGGGGAGCAGAGCGCTGGTCCAGGGGTGAGGGTGGAGGTCCACGACCTGCTGGTGGACATCAAAGCCGAGAAGGTGGAGGCCACAGAGGTGAAGCTGGATGATCTTGACTTGTCTCCAGAAGGCCTCGGTGGAAGTGTAGGTGGAGGAGGTGGAGGAGGAATGGAGAACGGACCTTTGGTGGAGGTGGACTCTCTCCTGGACAGTGCCTACTGCGCTGTGGTTCAGAACCTGAACGGGAATCTGGCGCCTAAAGACGACACGCCAGGCTCAGGGGTTGGGATGGGGCCGAGCCTGGGGCTTTCAGGAGTCAACCTGGAGGATGATGGGAACATGGGTCCACTCATTACGTTGGCTGATGAGAAGGACAGTGTCCCAAGCAACAACGGATTTCTCTTCAGCAAGGTAGGATGTTGTATGAAGATCATCGTCACTGACAAATTACAATTTTATCTGTGGGGCCCCATCCTCCCCTGCTGACCTAGAATCTAATATCACCAATCATTCACTGTTGTATCTCTGAGACTTTCTATCCTTCTTACACTTTCTAATTTCCCAAAAGAAAAGAAAGTTTTGGCTGCAAACTTTTCTTAATGTGTTAATTTTCTTCGAATTTTTATTACCCCCATTCATCTCTTCCAGGTTGATGAGAAACTGCTTCCAGCTCTGGCAGCCACGGACCCCCTTGTGCTGCCGAGTCCAGACCAGCCCACTCCATCCGGCCCGGTCCCAGCTCACTCCACCACCAGCGCCAGTGATGACCTCAGCCTGCTGGCCCACATGACAAGCTGCGGCTCTGATTTACAGACCCAGAGCCACACTTCTGGGGAACTTCCAGAGGACGGGCCCTTCAAGATCCAGAGCCCTCTTGCTGACATCAGCTCCATCGCTGAGGCTGAGAGCCAAACCCAGATACAGGGAGCCTCCAGACCAGATTTCCCAGAAGGAGAGGGCACAGCCGGGGCAGAGGGAGAGGCTGCGGGGCTCAAGACTGGCGGAGACACAGCCAGCACCACCTCTGATACGGAGAGGTCGGACGATGGGAAAGACAAGGACACGAAAAAGATCCAAACTACTGCGACTACTCAGGTGTGTTTATGTGTGTGAGTCTGCAAGTCTGCAAGGACGTTGCTGGGTCACTACAGTATTCAGTATACAGTATGCAGTAATACACTGAATACTATATACATTTAAATGTGAAATCATTTATTTTGATTTTGATAATTAGCTAGCAAGTGATAATTAAGATATTAAAATTAAAATAGAATAAAAGATGTACTGTATCATCCTCACCTAAATTAATCTGCCAGCTCAGGCGCTGGCCAATCGAAAGCCTTCTTCTTCATCCTTCAGGCCACTGCTGCCCAGTGCGATCAGCTGAGTGTGTTTGATTAGTGTAAAATACTCAGCCACGGACAGTTTGTCTCGTCAGAAAAGCGAGTGCCTGCCCACACATCAACTAATTTTCCCTAATAGCTCAGTGAACACAGAATAAGAAGTCCCAGAGAGTCCTCTGTGGTTTCCCTTTATGAAATGGATTTTCATAACTGAATCTATTCCACAATTTATGTTAGGCTAGTAAGAGATGTGCTGAAAGCCTTGTACTGCCCCCCCCCACCCCCCATCCCTCCTGTTGCAGGCCCTTCATGGTCGTACTGCGGCGCAGCTGGAGCGGGACCTGCGTGTTGACCTGGGTTTCAGAGGCATGCCCATGACGGAGGAGCAACGCCGGCAGTTCAGCCCCGGCCCGCGCACGACTATGTTCCGCATCCCAGAATTCAAGTGGTCTCCCATGCACCAGAGGTTGCTCACTGACCTGCTTTTCGCCCTGGAAACTGACGTGCATGTGTGGAGGAGGTGAGTTAAGGAATTCTACGTGCGTGTCTCTTGCAAATCAGTCATGGGATTAGGTTAGCTGGTTTTTCCTTATACATTTAATTCTCATTATAATCACTTTGAAATAACCTATAACTAGTTTGAAACATCCGTCTGACATGTTACTGTAAATAGCAAGACCTTTTACCTTATGCATTGTTTACAGTGCATCCGTATTGACCGCACATGTATTGAAAATTAGATTAGACTGAAGATATTCAAAAAGTGAAGTGATACCTGTGATGTCTCTATTTCCTAACTGTCTTTCCGTATCATCCGTCAAACTCTTAATTTTCCATTCCAGCCACTCCACCAAGTCTGTGATGGATTTTGTGAACAGCAATGAGAACATCATCTTCGTCCACAACACGATCCACCTCATTTCTCAGATGGTGGACAACATCATCATCGCCTGTGGAGGCATCCTGCCTCTCCTGTCTGCTGCCACCTCCCCTTCTGTAAGTGGCTCCACTCCCCCCCTCTGTGGTAGGAGGGGAAACTGCAGGTCAACCAGCTGCTCCAGAGGCCTGTAGCTCAGGCGTTAGCGCCAAACGCAGACTTTGAAGAAACCTCCTAAGCCTGATTCCCTTCGTGCTCAGGGCAGTATTGAGCTTGCATGATTGAATAGGTTAAAGAATCTGTTGTGTTTTTTTTTTTTAACCTATTAAATCATGATAAATCTAAAATGACTTCTTAAGCCTTAAAGGTTGAATCTGAGTGCAGTTTAGTTTGGCCATGAATTAAAAAAAAAAAGGTAAATTAATTAAACTTCCAATAACCCTTTCTGGATTCCTCTCATTTGTATCTCTACATATCTAACTGTCAATCTAACACTTCTGCCACAGTATTTTAACCTTTATTTGATCTTTGTTCTAATCCCTTTAATTAACAATCTATTTGATTTGACAGTGTATTAATCTATTTATTTTAATCATCTTTCTATTTTTCTTTTCTATGTTCTATGTATTTTCCTGTCCTTTTTGTCCCCGTTTTTGTCTGTTTTTGCATGTGCAGAGTTCTAAGAGTAGTGCCAACACTGTAAGTTGTGGTTTCTTCCTCTCTTTCTATTCTACTAATACTTTGTTCTGGTTTATTTATCATTTTGACTGACACTAACCCTTGCCTGTCTGACATCCATAGTGTTTCTATTTGTTGTGCTCCTTTGCTGCTAATCAAACCCCCCCTTATACTGTCTGTATATATTGTGGGTATGCATTGATCACTCTGCCTCTAGTTCTTTAAAGATATAATATTCTAACACTGTTAGAATATTATACAAATAAGGGGGATAGAATAGACCAAAAGCCAGGAGGTGGGTCGTTAATGAGGAGAAATTAGAGTGAAAAAGCATGAGAGTTTACCAAAAGTCCTTGGGGGTTGCATCTGCTAAGCCTGTCCCATTTGTATCAACACTAAAGAAGGCAGGAGGAGCCAGACCCCAGAGGGGGTCAAAGGGAGAGGAGGTGACCCCTGTTCCTGGGGGAGGAGGCGCAGGGGGAGAGGTGCGTAAAGAGCCTGAGACTCCCACCATCACCAGAAGAGCTAAGAGCACCAACCCAAGCCCTTCTGTTTTCACCTTGTGTGTCTGTTATCCCCCCCGAATGTCTGTGCTCACTTGCGCTGACGAGCCTCCAGATGCTTGCACTTTGTCGACTCTCCACAGCCCCGCACATCCTGCTTACTGAAGCAGAGACACAGCAAACCACACACTTGGTTTGAGTTTTAACCAATGCCATGCTGCCCTCAGATTTATTTTCAGTGTAGACATACTGAAATTCTTGTAATGAAATACTTTAGATGAACACAAGGGGAAATATATTCTAGGCTAGCTTTGCCTGTCTCTACACTGCTGTTGTTACCGCTACTAGGCCACACTGCTACTGTCACGATCCCACTGTTACCATTACCTGTGTGTCATCAGGCTGTACTTCCCGTGTGTCATGTAGAACACCTCATGTTGCTGGATTTCATCATATCAGTATGTACTTCACTTAACCAGCATGGCACTCAAGATTGTGTTTCCTGTTTGTCGGTGAAACCAGCCATGACTGTTGTGGTCATGCTTGCGTAAGACCCAGCTGCATACATTTTTCTGAAGGTTACCTCTGTTTAAATTAATAAAGGAGGGTACTGCAGTATTTCACCACTTTTTCTAAAGAAAAACCACTGAGAGAGCAACCAGTTCATTGTGTTTACACTCTAGTTTTTACACCGAGTAACTGGCGAGCATGTGTGTATTTTTTCCTCCCTTTCCCAGACGGAGTTGGAGAACATCGAGGCGACACAGGGCATGTCTTCAGAGACGGCGGTCACCTTCCTGTCTCGTCTCATGGCCATGGTGGACGTGTTGGTGTTTGCCAGCTCCCTCAACTTCAGTGAGATCGAGGCGGAGAAGAACATGTCGTCAGGAGGGCTGATGAGGCAATGTCTCCGCCTGGGTGTGTGCCCGACCAAAGTTTTAAAACTTTTCATTCTAGATTCGACTCACACACAGGTTCACAGTCCTGTGGAGTAGGGCTGCAACTAACAATTATTTTCATTACTGTTTTTCTAATAACCTTTAGAATTTTTAAATTAATCGTTTAATCCAAAAATGCCCATTATAATTTCCCAGAGGTGCAGAGCTGTCTTTAAATTACTTTTTTCATCTAACATTGCAAAACCTAAATATATTCAAATTACACTGATGGTGTAAATTTAAGAGAAGCAGCAATTACTCACATTTACAGAGGAAGCTTGCAGATGAATTTTATTATGTATTGATTAATCCATTAATGAACTATCCGACTCAGCACTACTGTTGACAGGGATGCAACTTCCAACTGAAAAATGGCATTGAAGACAACCCAAAATGAGTGTGCACATCTTTACAGTCACTCCAGATTTCTCTTATTTTGTGTCCCTTTGATCCCTGAGTCTAACATGTATTGTAATATTACATTGTATTACATTATATGTAATATTATTTCATACAATGAATAGCCAATTAATCGATTAGTCAGTTAACAGTATACTATGTTGATAATCCATTCATTGTTGAAGTCATTTTTCAAGCAAAAATACCAAATATTTGATGGTTTTCAAGCATAAAAATTTGCTGCTTTACTTGGCTTTTTCATCATATTAAACTGAATACTTTTGGGATTTTGAAACGTGGAGAAAGCAAACATTACACTGGGCTTTAGGAAGTTGTGATGAGAATTTTTCAGTTTTCTGATATCTTATAGAGCAAACAAATAATCAATTAATTGAGGAAATTAGCAGCAGATTGATCTATAATGAATATAATCGTTAGTTGTGTCGCAGCCCTATCATTGATTAATGTCATATATAGGGCTTAAATCATATATATACACATTCATAATGTAGTTATTGATCATGGACTGAACGTACATATCCTAAAAACAAATACATTTACCCATCTGTAGGACATCAAAGAGAAACAGAAGCCAATAAACAAATCACAGAATTCATACACACCTCCTGTGATACTCTGCTATGATACTTACATGTTTCCTCTCTGCCTCTCCTCATCCGTCAGTGTGCTGTGTGGCAGTGAGGAACTGTCTGGAGTGCAGGCAGAGACAGAGAGATCGAAGCTGCAAGTCCTCTTTAACCAGCAGCAAGTCACAGGACAGCCTCCACAGTGCCTCCACCACCAGCAAGGTACCACACACACACACACACAGACACAGACACAGACAAATCAAATGCACATCCTGCGCACAACGCTTAAAACCTGGCACAAAAATATGCATATGTATGACACACCACATTTGACATTCTGTCCTCCATATTTAGCAGGATCCAGACAGACTCCTGCAGGATGTAGACATCAATCGTCTCCGAGCTGTGGTGTTTAGAGATGTGGTAAGCGCGTGTTTGTTTGTGTATTTTTAGTGCATACAGTATTTGTGTGGTTATAAACATGAGAGGAAAAAAATGCCTGAATGGTGTCCCTATTTTTTTTACACTGGATAATTTTATGTGTTTTCTGTAGGATGACAGTAAGCAGGCTCAGTTTCTGGCGCTGGCAGTCGTCTATTTTATCTCAGTTCTCATGGTATCTAAATACCGGGATATTTTGGAACCCCAGCGGGAGATTGGCAGGTCCACCAGCCTATCAGGGAGAAGCATCCGCCACGAGATCAACTCCCCAACCAGTACAGGTGATTGTCATTTTTCTTTTGCTGCAATATCCTCAATATTACAGGGTAATCTTGGATGAGCCGGTGGTGACTCATTGTTGTAGCGTTGGTGTAGAGAATACAGGCTTCAGGCGAACAACAATACCTTTATCAAGAATATGAGAAAATTAGAGAAAGAAAGAATGGTATTACTTGGCAGGGAAATGAAAGCTTACAAGCAAGAGGAAAACAGCTGAGAATGAAAATTTAGAAACAGACAATATGTTGTGGAATCTCTTGACAATGCATTTTGTGTGTAATTATCTGACTTTTTTATCCTCTTTAAAGTCAAACTGCCATCTTTATTTCTTTCTCATCCATCCAGAGCACCCATCCACAGCCTTCTCTGACCGTGACAAACAGACCCCCACCCCTGTAGATGACTCTCCCCGGGCCGGCCTCCCCCACACAGACTCCGGCATCGGAGAGGAGGGCCATGTGGCCGGGTCCCTGAATGGCTCGGAGATGGGTCTTGGCCTTGGCCTTGGCCTGGTGGGGAGAGAGACAGACAGAGACCGTGACAGAGACATGGGAGGAGGTGGAGGTGGGGGAGGAGGCACAGATCTGTTGTGCAGCCTGTCGTCTGATGTTAGGAGGTCACAGGAGAGCCTTCTGGATTCTCCCCACAACCCCGGCTCCACCCCCAACTCCAGCCAAGCCCCGCCTTCATCCATCTCCAGCATTAGTCAAACAAACAAAGGCATCAATGTCAAGGTAGGTCTGTGGGACACCTGTTCAGACCGGGTTGCTCGCCTCCAAATATATCAAAATGATCTTGTCTGACTGTATGTCATTGCTGCATATAGTATTAAATATATTTAATGTGTAAATGTTTATGTATTTATACTAGTAAAGATGATAAATGTGGTATGGGTGGTCAGGAAATGCATTTTCATTTACTCTACACTATTGAGATGATCACATGTACCTATGAGCACCTGTAAACGAGCTATTTGTAAGTTTAGATATTGCTATATATCCAGCGTCAGCATTGACAGATGTTTACTTACCAGTCTAGAGGAAATGTGGCAAGTTCATAATCAAAACTTCATTCCTTTACTTGCCAAAAGCTGCATCCAGTGGTTGAAAGCACCAATGTAAACTCTTTACTATACCAAGTCTCTTCTTCTACTGAAGTAAGCATGCTAACCAGCTAGCCCTGGCCTGTCTCGTCACTTTCCGATAGCGAGTCACTCTAGCCTCGACTCTAACCTGAAGAAGTAGCGCTGCTCAGAGGACGTATTGTAACCTCTTGTTTTGTAAAAACAATAATGGTTGAAGCTCTTGTCAAGTGAAAATCACCACCACTCACTCCCGGCACAGACCACTTTCGGCATCAGAGAAAACATACAAATAGCCCCTTTAAATGTGTTTTCAGTGATCAAGCTACATCAGTACTTTTAGCTGCACGGTTGCAGCTATATCACCTGAGATGGATTTTAATGGCAGGTCTGAATAGGGTAGAGATTTTTCCACATATGCTCTTTCAAGTGGGGTTGTATAAGGTTATGTATCATTAAAACATGCCTATTTTTTGAATCATTCATAGTTGCTAGAAAAAAAAGGGTTTTCAGTTTAGTTTTGTCTGTGCTGGATTTTGTCAGAGGCAACAACAGAAATGTTAAACTTACGTTGAGAACAAAATCTCCAATGTCATGGTGCCCCTTAAAGGAAAAACAAGCCATTAAACTCCTCACAGCTTCACCAGCCTGTGTCCTGCATTCACCAGAGTTGTTCTCTCTGAAACGCAGGAGATCCTGAAGAGCTTGGTGGCAGCTCCAGTTGACGGTGGAGAGCTGGGACAGGAGTCGGGGCCGACGCCCTATCACCCAGACCCTGCCCTGAAGACACACCCCATGCTGCCTATGCAGTTCCACTCCTTCGACAGGTTAGTGCCAGCTACTGACCTATAAAGGCAGAAAGAGCAGACAGAGATATCAGAGTCAGTACAACCTGACACATCCATCAGTTAATTGATTTTTGCAGTCAATACTGGTCTTTTACAGATGTGTATTAGTATACCGCCATTTGTTAATGCTCTACATCAGTTTTGGAAAAACAGAGGACACAGAAATCAATAAAGTGATTATTATTTTGAAAAAAATGTTCTCCCATTTGGATGGTAACATTTACAAGCATACATAATGTGCTTTTTGTTTGCCAGCAGTCGCATCAATTTTTTTTTCATTGAATGAAACTCCAATATTGCACAGATAAGAGATACTTAAAAATGTGGACTACATACCTGAGAAAAACAGAGGCATTCAGTATAAAACCAGAATGACAGTAATTTCTATCCCGTCTCTGTGATACCATGATAATGAAACATGGCTGAGATGCAGTTGATTTAATTTTCTTCCCATTTTTGACATTGATTTTGGACAAAAATATTATAGAAATACAGATACTCCTGCTGAATGATTACGTCATTGCACATCGAGGCGGATAAACAAAGTCTGCAAAGAGTTTTAAATTTTCTTTTCTTGTCCAAACTGTGAACATGTGACTTTCCACTGAGTGATGACCTGCTTATATCTCCTGTGAATCACTTAGTCTCCCTGATCCTGCTCTGTGGCAGACCTTGAGAGCAAAGTTATTGATTGAAGACATTGTGCATAATAGATCATGAATGGCTCCAAATCCATTTCCAAGATGTCTACCTGATGTATAAAGCCTGTCTGCATGGTCATGGTTCAGACAGGCACAGACACGTCTGATCCATCAGTCCATATAAATTAAAGGCAAAATGCATAGTTACAAACAACAAACAGTTATTTAGTAGTGTTTTTAAACAAAGATATGTCAGTCCTTCAAAAACATTAAAACCCTGCTCTTATTTAAATGCTCATCATCCCTAAATTTTAGTTACAAGCTTGAAATGTTGGCATTTTAGGGAATGAATCTGATTTTATTGTGCTACATATTAATGAATGCACATTTTGATTTAATTAGCAAGCACTTAATAATATACTTCTGAAGTTAACATTAAAGTAGTTGATGTGCTGAAGCTCCCAATATTGCCTAAGTACCTACAAGTATTCTTTTAGCTCCCTGATGTTGTCAGGGTTGTATTTTAAAGGTCCCATATTTTATTAGGTAAGATTTCTTTCTTTGATCTTCTTTGATTATAAAGCAGGTCTAGCTTCTATATTAATATTGTGAAAGTTTCGAAGTGCTCAGTCCACAGAGAAATGCACACTGGCTGTATTCAGAAACTGAGCCTTGAAACCAGCCATCAGGACTTCAGTTCCTTTTAGATGTCACAACAAAGTAGTCACGACCCTCAACAATTCCCCAAGCCCCGCCCACCTGGACCCACAATCCAACCTTGCAGGATTTGATTTCTCTGGGTGTTTAACTGAAATCTGCTATTTTTTTATTCGAGCACTCAGAAAACAGTCAGCCAATCAGAAGAGAGGCTCAGAGCCTCTCTTCTGATTGGCTAAGAAAGAAGCCTGAGAGACGAGATCTTAAACTGCATTGAGATGGTTATTGGTTCCGCAAACCACAAATATATCTTCTTGAGGATCAACACTTCAAATAAAATACAAGAAGAGTGTAAAATATGGAACCTTTAAAACATTAAAGATGATTTGAGCAAAGCTTGTGATTTGGGGACACACCTGGGCACCGTCACAACATGTATCAGTTGTTATCAGTTGTTGTTATAAGTTATCACCGGGGAGCCTTCAATAAAGAATATTGTTCTTTGTTTGTCTCATGCCTGTGTTTTTTACACATTTTTTACAGGAGTGTTGTGGTTCCAGTCAAAAAGCCACCACCTGGCAGCCTGTCAGTCAACACAGTGGGCACACCCACAACCAGTGGAGCAGCCACTGCCGGCAGCACACCTAACATTTTTGCCGCTGCGACAGCAACGCCCAAGAGCATGATCAACACTACAGGTGAGAGATAACACATAGCACTCATGCATGTATTTATGGGATATTATTACACGTAGAAATGTTTGCACTGCATCTGTTCAGTGCAACGTAAGGAGAAGCAGCAGACAGACACCTGCAGTATGACAGAGGTGTTTTGGAGAAAAGCCTCAAGCAATTTGAAGGCTGCTTGATGAAGCAGAATTTCTCCTCTTGATGTTTTTCTTTGCTGCGCTTTGACAGCCAGAACAAACTGGAATAGAGACGAACTGAACCAACAGTGGCAGCAGATCCTTTCATGATTAGTTAGCGTCCAAAGGAATGAAGTTGCAGGCAGCACAGCAAAGTGTAAGATCTTTAAGTCACTAAAAAGTTAATGTACCCTGTACCTTTCACATGGCTCACATTTGATACTCCATGCAGTAAAAGAAACAGATGCAGAGAAAATATGTATTAGATATTCTTTGACCCAGATATGATATTGAATAGGAAGGAATGTTGGAGAACAAGATAAGAATCAAATACACTTCAGCTGACATGCAGATCAGTGCTGTTTCTATGCAGCATCATACTCAGCAGCAGAGTGGATTTGTATTCAAGGCTTTGTCAGCCTGTCGGACATATTGTACTGTATCATACATGCATAATGGACAAGGAAAGGATTTGTTCCCTGGAATGGATTCTGTATATTGATTGCAAAGCTATTTTCACAAACGGGGGGCCATTACCAGAAGACAAGCAGCTGCATGTCCGGTGAAATACTATCCAAATTGAATTTTGTCGCAGCTGATCAGGACATTAATACATTTCCTTTGTTATTATCATGCACGCTAATCTCTGTCCTGCTCGATTCATGTTACTGTAATGCCTGTCTTATTTCTCATCGCTCTCCCTGCTGTTTCTCCTTCCTGCCCCTAGGTGCCACAGACTCTGCCTCCTCCTCCTCCTCCTCCTCTTCGTCATTTGTCAATGGTGCAACTAGTAAGAATCTGCCAGCCGTGCAGACAGTGGCACCCATGCCAGAAGACACTATGGAGAATATGAGGTCAGCGCTCTCAGCATCACTAAGCTCTTAATCGCTTCAGCCATTCACTTTCCTCCCGCTCTTTCTTTTTTTTTTTTCTTCTTTTTTTTTTCTCCCTTACGTTGAATTTTCTGTTTTCTCGGGTGCCTGTCCCTTTTCCATTTTTATTCCTGTCCCTATTTCATTTCACACTTTGGTCTTCATCCCTTCCCAAAGAATTCCCGCCAGCAGTTCACACTCACAGTCATTACTGATATCATACAGCCAGGTTAGATAACAACCGGGGTGCACCTGCATCCTTTTTGAGGCCTACATTAGGTAACAATACCTGATATTAGTCATTTTAATTTTTTTTAAGTATATCAGGAGTAATGTAGACCAAAAAATATTCAGATATGTTAAAGAAAGACAAAACTTTAGTTGCTAATTACTGCGTGACAAATGACTAGAAATCCAAAGTCAGAGAAATTCCACTTCCACATTGACTCATCAGCTATAAAAAAGGATATTGGAATGACTCAACATTGCTTTTTAAAGCTGATATCAACTAATGATAATAGTTTTTCGGAAAAGCTAGTAAAACTAAGTAAGTATTTATGTTCACATTCACATACACCGCTCACACATCTTACTCAGTCTACACTATGGAGCTCTTCATCCCTGACATGGCAACTGTGTTTTAATGTCACAATTAAGATATACTGTAGAGTATGAAAATATCAGCAATATTAATACAGCTTTAATATTTCCATAAGACCAACAGTTTTAGTGGATTTCAAAGTACCTCTCATAAAAGTAAATCTGTGTTTTTTGTGTGTTTCCATATGTGTGAAGGCGTCTGACGCTCACTAGTAAGATATAAGATGATCTGCGATATGAGACTGGTAATAATGAGGAAATGGCTTTACAATATGAAATACTAGATCAGTCCTTTGAACATTGCAGCAGTTTGTACTGTAACATTTCTGTCCATGTCCTCTCTCCTCAGACGTGTTAGACAATCTGTTATGATGTGTGCAGTTAACGTGCGCGTCTAAAGGTGCACACGCACGTGAGTGGGCGGGCGGGTGCGTGCGTGCGTGCGCATGTGCTCCTTAATCAGTGTGCATGTCTGTACATGTGTGTTTGTGTGTGTGTGGTTTGTATTGCAGTGCCTATTGTGAGGTGGCGCAGTGTGCGCTGCGCAGCGGTCAGACGCCCCCTGAGCTCAAGTCTTTTAGCTCTCTGGCAGGCTTCCAGGCAGCCCCCCGAGATGCAGGACAGTGTTTTAGGCAAGGAGATACTCGTCCTGTCCCCCCCCTCCCCATGCCCCCTTACGAACCCACCCCCACACCCACACCAGCATCATCCCCCCCTCCCTCTGCCCCACCTCCACCACACACCCTCTGCTACGCCCAGCCACTACCAAATGTTCCCAGAGTGCCATGCAAGAAAGGACGGACATCTTTGCTAACAGCTTTCAACACTTAGCAATCACTTTTGTTTTAGGCCCAGCAGCTCATGTTTTTATGTTTTTTACTGCAACACAGTCAACTCTGTCACTTCTGGCATGGCCGACTTTCTCACACTAACTAACCCCAAACTCCAGATCAGACCTGAGTCAAACTGTGTTTGCAAATAATTTGTGGCGTGGGTTTGCTTGAACAGACTTGAGCGCTTGTTTTAACCTCCTGCTGCTCTGGGCAGGTTAAAACAAAATTAAGATTTGTAAACACCAGTGACCCGGGTCTGTTTCAGAAACCACATGCTTACAAGACTAAGAAGATGCACATCACTGCCAACATGGCTGCTTTGCTGTATATTCGTCCTGCCTTACTCTCTCCATTTCTTAACTGAACATGTAACAGAAAAGTATTTTACTCTTCAACACAAAGGCACTAATATAAAGATTTGTAGTATCTACAGGACATGTCAATATATACAGTATTCTCCAACGCAGTTTAAAATAAGAGCCGTTTTTTGGAGGCTTAGCTTTTTTTGCACGTCAAGGTTCACTCATCTCACGAAGCCAAGTTGATTAGCAGAGCGATTAGTCTTTGAACTGTCTCATCAATCAATACTAACCCAGGCATAGTGCTTCCATACCAAACCATCATCACATACTCTTTGATTCTGTATGTTTTTTGAGTCTTCTGTGTCCATTTCAGACATTTTTCTATTTCCTTCTCTTTTACCGCTCTCAGCTTCTCTTTCCCTTTCCCATCTCTGCTTCTCTGTAATTTGCCGTCCCTTCTTCCCACCTGTCTTTGCTCATTTCTTTCTTGCATGTTTTCTTGCTCCCTTCCTCACCCACCGTATATACCCCTCCCTGAGTCCCCCCCCCCCCCCCCCCCCCCCCCTCACATGCTCTTCTACCCTCATCTGTATGTTGCTTATTTTAATCTTCACTCCTATTCACTTCATCTTTCTCTCACTTATTTCCCTGCCACAGTATTACCACCAAGCTGGAGCGCGCTCTGGAGAAGGTGGCCCCCCTGCTGAGGGAGATTTTTGTGGACTTCGCCCCCTTCCTGTCCAGGACACTTCTTGGTAGCCATGGGCAGGAACTGCTCATAGAAGGTACAGGTGCTGTACACGGCTCCTTTTTCTCTAACTGGCGTCTCTCTGTGGAGTCTCCCCATTCACTGTCCCTCACCGCGATGTGTGTGTGTGTGTGTGTGTGCGAGAAAGAAAAAGCGTGTGTGAGAGAGGAGAAAAACAAAATGGAACGAGTGAGTGAACGAGTGTGTGATTAGTTGGCAGCGAATGAGTGAGTGAGTGTCTTTGAGCTGGCTGCTTCACTCATTCGTCAAGCAGGTATGAAGTCAGTATTTTGCACCATTTTCAATCAGCTAGCCAGGCAACGTCAACAGTTTTAGATCAGATTATGTTCAGTTTTAGCATTAATGCTGCTGCTATTATAGTACTGTTCTAAATGTGATGCATTCCTTCTCCCTCTGCCCACCTGCTTCCTGGCGTCCTGTTTTCGTGATCCACTGTCTCTATGTTGATCTCTCCCTCTCCTCACTTCCTGCTCCCTCTTCCCCCGCCTCTCTTTTTCTCTACTGTTTGTTCCTGTCTTCTCCGTGGCATGCTTTTTATAAACTTGACTACGATGACTGTAAACAACAGCAGAAAACCACTGACACTACAGTGTCGTCTTTGATGATATTTTTGTGTCTCGCAGTGGTGTGTGTGTGTGTGTGTGTGTGTGTGTGTGTGTGCGTGCGTGCGTGCGTGCGTGCGTGCGTGCGTGCGTGCGTGCGTGCGTGCGTGTGTGTGTGTGTCAGAGAGAAAGAAAGAGATGCTCCTGACTGTGCAGTGTGTCTTTGTGCTGCAGGTCTGGTGTGTATGAAGTCTAGCACGTCTGTGGTGGAGCTCGTAATGCTGCTGTGCTCTCAGGTTGGTAACTCCTCCTCACCTCTCTCCTCTCCATCTCTCTGTGTGCTGTCCTCACACATATGATCCATTTTGTCAAAGCCTGAAAAAGTTCTGCAAGTTTTAAAAAAAAAAAAAAAAAAATTATTTTAGACCCACAATAATAAATGGCTGAGTTGAATGCACACAGGAAGCTGTCGAGTTATTGATCTGCCCTCTGAGGCAGGGTCGACTATGCAATGAGCGCACTGCAGATGTAATATAATATCAGCTTATATGCATCATCACACTGTAGCGCCCCCTCATCAGTATCAAGCGCCACAAACAGAATTTTCCACGTCAATCACACGCACATAAACTTTTCCTGTCCTGGATTTTACTTTTAGAAACTAAATTAAAGGCATCAAAGGCATCACAGCTTCACTCATTTCAAATGTTTTTGGAGTCATTTATCTAACTAGCATTCAAAGCCAGTATCTTTATTTTCCTGAATAACCCTTAAAAGAGAGGCACTTACCACTACAGAGCTTCGCCCTGATGGCGTTGGAGACCAGTTTTCTTTTTCTTATCTTATGAAGTTTGTTTCCCAACTCTTCTCTGTTTGGCTGGATTCTTGCTGCCTGTAAGAGCTCTTGTCTTCGGAGGAGCTCTTCAGTTCTTTCCTCTTCTTTTTCTTCAACCCTTCTACCGCGGTCCTTGCCTTCTTCTCTCCCTTTTTTCCCTTCTCCATCCTTAGCTGCGCCATCACCTCTCTGCTTTTCTAGTCCATTTCAACCCAGTGTTTGAGGGGCTACTGCTTTCATCTTCTACCACTCTCTACTGCACGGCTGTTTCCTCTCACCACTCCCTTTTCCACTCTCCTCCACTCTCCTGGCTGGCTGCTCGTCAGCATGTATAGTATTACCCCCTGGCTCCGGCCTTGTCTGACATTAGAGGCTCAGGAGAGCAAACCCTACCCCAGATATTGATCCTGTGGATGGGGGGGGTGTAACAGGAGATGGTCCCATGTGTCCTTCACAGCCTTAAGAGCTAGTGGAGCTAATGGAGCTCTGATAGTTTTAGGCTTTCAGCAACACTCTTATCCTCAGCTCAGAAGGCTCCACTCTCATGCACAAGCACATAAAACACTTCCGCACGGGTGCATTCTCATTGACACTCGCAGAGCTCTTAAGATGTTTTTTCATCCTTATTTTGAGGAGTTTCATGCTAAGGTAACTTTGCACCGGAGATGGTAATTGATGAATTTATATTTCTTCATGCATAAAGCTAATTTTATCTCTGTATTTAGTGACACTTTTTACGTGTTGATCCCCTGATTAACCACAACAACCCACCTACCACTTTCAACCAGGAGTGGATGATGTGACAATATATGCAGTGAAGCAAGAGAATTTTTCGGAGGAATTTTACCGTGCAATATACCAACATGGCTCTGGTAACCATACACAATGTGCAATGCTGCAAATTGATGAGCAGGACAACTTTAAGACAATGTTGGATTTATATGTTTTTTTGTTAGTAATAATTAATTCACAAGATTCAAATTTGGTCATTTGACCGACAAGTAAATTTCCAGAAAATGTACGACATCAGTATAAAATGACATATATGATGACACATCGAACACCCCCACTCCCTATCATATTAACTCTGATCTGTCCTCTACACTTAGGAGTGGCAAAACTCCATTCAGAAGAACGCCGGACTGGCCTTCATTGAGCTCATCAATGAGGGAAGGTAATCTATCACACTGACTGATTATCACCCCCGCGTAACTCCCCGTGATTCACACATTAACGCCAATACTGTTATCAGTGCTTCACAACTAATGGGTATGATACAGTCCTAATGAGAACCTTGCCAGGATAAGTGCACAGTGCCACGTGTGTTCAGTAGGAAGTCAAATCATTAGAGTGCAATTAAGTTTACTGCTGATTTGTGCTGCTCTATTTTCAGAGCCTGTAATCTTGTTTTTTTTTTCAGTCCAAAGTGTTTATTGGAGGATTGCTGCAAAACTTAAGAAGATAAATACACACCAAAAGTCTACTTTTTAAATATACTGTTTACTGACACACATTCAGCAAGCTTCAGCAGCAAATCATTTCTTATTGATATAATTCAGAAAAGCTTGAAATACTGAGGAGAACTTGCTTTAATTGCCTCCTGTTGAAAGTTTAATTTTTTCTAAATGGAGGTGTTGCTAATGCCTGTAATCTTTGTCACTTCCCCGTGTTTCTCACTCCATCACCAGACTCCTGTGCCACGCCATGAAGGATCATATTGTGCGCGTTGCCAACGAAGCAGAGTTCATCCTGAACAGACAGAGAGCTGAGGATGTGCACAAACACGCTGAATTTGAGGTAAACCTACAGAGCGCCGCTGCTGTTTTAAATCACACGTGACAGGTGAAAAGCCATGTGAAGTGGCCAGTATGTTCATGCGCATTGTTTTTCACGATTGTCACCAACACATACCTGGGCTTTGAGTAAGTTACTGCCTCCAGTTAGTACATTTAAACTAATTTCAACTCAGGATTTTATGCAGCAATAAGTGTTGTCGGAGGACACTGTTCACACTCGTCTTGTGCTTTGCGAAAACACAATTAACCTACTGAGTATATCTGACTCATAAAGGAACACAACAAATAATCCTCCCACGTTTATTCTTATTCTTATTCTTCTTTATTTTTTCTGCTCTTATTTTCAGAGTAGTAATTCTTGTATCACTTTTGGCCAGTAAATTAGCATTTGACCCTTTAAATAAAAACTAAAAACTAATAAAAGCTATAAATTAATTTGACCAGTGCTTGATTTTTCATGCCAATACCAATATTAATATTTGAGAGTTAACGTCATAATGATTATCAGCTAATATTCATTATTTACATACAGTAAATGCACAAGAAAAATAACAAAGATCCCTTAAACTTGCTTTTTCAAGAATGTGACCAGGATCAATACTGAGCTTTCTGGTGAACAAACTATGTAACACTGATTTTAAATTACTTCAAACTAATCTTTTTCATTTCTGCCATTTCTTCTTCCTCATGTGCTGACATGAATTTAATACCAACAAATCTCTGATAAGCTCATTTCCACTGATTTATGGGTCTAGCTCTATTCACCAAAAACTCAACAGACAGACATACTGTACAACAACCGACTCCTCGTCACCACGGTCTTCCTCATCTCTGACGGTAATGCTCTCCGGTTTTAACTCTTCTACCGCCTGCTCTCCCCCCTTAGTCTAACTGCGCCCAGTACGCCGCGGACCGGAGAGAGGAGGAGAAAATGTGCGATCACCTCATCAGCGCCGCTAAGCACAGAGATCATGTGACGGCCAACCAGCTGAAACAGAAGATCCTCAACATCCTGACCAATAAGCATGGAGCGTGGGGGACGATGTCACAGAGGTGAGAGGAGCGACGTATCAAATTATAACTCTGGGACATTTTTAGATCACCATTACACAGGATGTCATTTAATAGGAGACATTACACCGGTTGAGTGCTTCTTATATTTAATGGAATAATTGGTATGTGTAGTGATTATTAAGTCAGCACCGTCCATCATGCATGGACCGTATCATTGTAACATATCACCATTGTATACTGTTGCTACGTAACTATAGTAAAAGTAGACTGTACATAAATTCATAAAGCCAGTAGAGTGTCAGACTCATTGCTGAAATACAGAACAATTCAGCAAACACATTTATAAAACATATTACGTTCTGTGTAAAGCAGTTACAGCACACGCAGACAGCTGCCTGGTAGCTGTGTGAGACTGATCTACTTATTTAGCACACTGGCATACACTCACATTACCTCAATGATGGCTTGTTATGCAGATCTGCCTCCAGGCTGGCAGCCAGTCGAAGGACATGGGATTTAATTTGAGGACATGTGACATGGACCATCTGACGCCTGTCTTCCTCATGTCACTGTCGATGAAGTAAATTGTATACCACAACGCGCAGGCTGTTGATAAGCACCTCCTGCACTCAGACACCAAAAAAAAAAAAAAATCAAAGTGAAATTGCATTTGAAATTGATGATATTTTTAATGTTTGTTCACATTAGGCAAAATTTCAATCACACCTATGGCTAAACCTTACTATTCATCTGTTTTCTTCATACGACCCCTTTGGCTCTACTTTTCTCTCACCTTAAAACCAGTTACTGTTGTTTCCAGATGTGGAAAGGTTGTTTAAACACACCTATGGTCAAATAGTGCCCCTTATCCAAATATAGAAGAGCCTTTCTCTGTAGAAAATGAGTTTTACAAGTTACAAGCATACAGTAAATGTCACCTTTGACTTCAGTTATCTTTACGTTCCTAAAATGCACACCTCGTTTGCTTCCCAACACTGCAATGACTCGACTTTGCTCCTCCCCTTTTATGTCTTCAGCCAATTACATGACTTCTGGCGTCTAGACTACTGGGAGGACGACCTGAGGAGGAGACGGAGATTTGTGCGAAACGCCTTCGGATCCACCCACGCCGACGTGTCCCTCAAAGCTCTGGAGGACTACGGTTTGTGATATGTATTAATGTGAACGTGTTGTACTTGGTCGATACCTCCTTTTTGCATAAGATAAGATAAGAAAAGATAAGATTAGATAAGATGAGATGTACCTTTATCGATTCCCCCGTAGAGGCAATTCAAATTTGACACAGCAGCACAAAAGAGTAGCAGCGTAAGGGGGAAAATGTAATAAGATAAGAAAATAAAAATAGAAACAGAATCTAAAATAAATAAGATAAATTAGAAATACTATATACAATAACAATATACAATGCAACATAGGCTGTTCTGTACATGTGCAATATAAAAATAGAAAATTAAGTGGTTGCTTCATGCACACAACCTTTACACGCACACTTAAAAACACACAGGTACGGAAGAGGAAGAGGAGGGGCTTAAGTCGAAAAAGAATTTCCGCAGCCAGTCAGTGGTCACCCAGAATCCAGAGGCGGAGTTAATGCTAGAGGGAGACGATGACGCTGTCAGCCTGCTGCAGGAAAAAGAGATTGATAACCTCGCAGGTAAGATGCACACACAGTTACGCACACACACGGACAGTATGCTACAGTTCGACTAAACCGCAAACTGTCTATGACTCTTGTTTTTAGTACGTTTCCGTCCGCGACTTTTTACCTCCAAAGGCAAGTTGGACATTTGAAAGTTCTGCAGCTCCTCTAACCACCTGACGATTAGAGACGATTAAGTCATAATTTACTAAAAACCGATGCTGATGCAAATCAGACCAAAGACCTCATGTAATCCAGTGGTTCCTCTCTGACTTACACACATGATTGGGTTGTTTACAACAGTAGGAAAGTAGAAGAAGCGAATAAACGATCAATCTTAACTAACACGAAATGAGTCTATTACAGTATGTGTGCCATTTAATTATCTGTTGTGTGCGATCATTGCTTATTACTATTATGTATTATGAACCTGTCAGTGCTATGACTACCTAGCTATCTACCTTTGACTACCTAAAGAAGTAGTAACACCACTGTCACCCTCAGGGCCTGTGGTTCTGAGTACTCCAGCTCAATTGGTCGCTCCAGTGGTGGTGGCTCGAGGCACTCTGTCCATCACTACTACTGAGATCTACTTTGAGGTGGACGAAGAGGATTCTGCATTCAAGAAGACTGATGCTAAAGTGAGGGCAAGCTGTCTTTCTGTATTGTTGTTCAGTGCAGGGGGGGGGGGGATTTAGACCACATTCTCTGGGAGATTGGTCTTTCTTCATGTTATAATGTTTCACTGGATTTCCTTTCTCAACAGGTGCTGGCCTACTCAGAGGGTCTGCACGGAAAATGGATGTTCAGTGAGATCCGAGCTGTGTTTTCCAGACGCTACCTGCTGCAGAATACCGGACTAGAGGTCTTCATGGCCAACAGAAGTAAGTCAGCAAAGTCTTGTAAGTCTTGTTACTTACATTAACCTACTCGCATCTATTGATTTCTCAACACTCTATCAGAGAGGTTATAAGGACTATAGGGATTTTGACCGTATGCATCTGATAACACAAGCCCCAAGGCATCAATCCGAGCCACTGACAGTATTTATTGATTATTTACCATCACTATGACCAGCTATTCAAACCTGTAAATAATTTATGGGTTGCACTGTCTGCAAGCAGTTTATCTGCTTTTTGCCTTTTTGCCATCATTTATTGTTGAGTTTCTGTAAAAAAAAAACAAAAAAAAATGTTTTGGTACATATAAAAAAAAAAAAGGACCAGACACCAATATGTATGATGAACTAACACCAAAGGTTGACTGAATTAAAGACTTCAGTGTGAAACAACTGGGGCATCAGTGCCAATAAAAGTAAAGTGCAGCTGGTTCCAGCTACTGAATTTCTTTGGTTTGTGAAGAATTAGACATAAATATCAAAATGGTATTTAAAAATGTTTAAAATTACACCGTGTTAGCAATAAGTACCAAACAAAACAATTAATTAAAGGAGCTATTTGTAAGTTTTGCTATTGCTACATAGCTAACTATAGCATTAGCAGCTGTTTACTTACCAGTCTAGAAGAAACATTGTTCAGCATCAAACTTCATTCTTTTACTCACCAAGAGCTGTCTCCAGGGGTGGAAAGCAACGCCAATGGTAACTCTTATCTCTATGACATCTTTTCTTCTACTGAAATTAGCACGTTAACTAGCTAGCCCCGGTCCGTCTCGTCACTTTCCGGTAGCGACTCCCTGTAGCCTCCAATCTGCCCCGAAGACGTAGCTCTGCTCAAAGGGCCTATTATAACCTCTTGTCTTGTAAACGCAACGATGACTGAAGCTCTTTTCAAGCGACAATCACAACCACCGGCTCCCAGCAAGAAACCATGTTTGGCGGCAGAGAAAACGTACAAATAGCCTCTTCAAAACAATGTTAGGATTAAACATTAGAATAGCACTCAGATTTAGTAAGTGCAGAGTGAAGTGCATATTAATCGAGTATAGCCTCTTTATGTAAGTGTGTTTTCTCTCTTCTGACTTCCCTACACTATCATTGTCATTATTATTCCCAGTATGATGGCACTCACTTTTTCCCTCTGCAGTATGGAGAATACTACCATTCCCTGCACTCTACACAACCACTCAAAAGAATGTTCCCCTATAAAATGTATACCCAATTTATTTTATTGTTTGGCACACGTTGACTATATGTTGTCTCTTCCTCTCCAGCATCTGTGATGTTTAACTTCCCTGACCAGGCCACAGTCAAGAGGGTGGTTTACAGTCTCCCACGGGTGGGTGTAGGAACGAGTTACGGCCTCCCGCAGGCCAGGTAGGTGCAAGGTGTAGTCAGCTGTGGTCCGCAGCTGTTCTGTGGTGGAATGGCAGTTTTCTGGTTTGATTAAAAAGGAGATGAATTTCAATGTGTGTGTCTATGCTTGTGTGTGTGTTGGTCTCCCAGACGGATTTCCTTGGCCACCCCTCGTCAGCTCTTCAAGTCGTCCAACATGACACAGCGCTGGCAGAGGAGAGAGATCTCCAACTTTGAGTACCTCATGTTCCTCAACACTATTGCAGGTAGAGTCCACTTTCAGTCATATTTCATGAGTTGTCATTCTTCCAAGTCTGTTTTTGTGAATCATAGCGTTTAAATAATATATGAAGCGGTTAGCAGCCAAACACACATCCCTGTCTAATGTGGTCTCTCTTTTTCTCAGACCAAACATTTGAATTATTTGAAAGAATACATCCTCGTTTTCTCACTTTCTTCTGTGTGATATTGACATTGACAACGATTGTAATAATACAACCTTATTTTGTTGCTGTGACAGTTCCTGTTGCGCTGTGTTGTTCGAATATAACTGCACAGCCAGACACTGCAGACTTGCCTTGTTGATATTTATATATTTACAAAAATATATGAACACATACAGCCACGATGACAAAGTGATATAAGTAATGAATTGAAAATAATGACTGCAGCCATTTGCTATTTTATTTTGTTTATAACCCCTTCGTATCCTGGAATATTTCAATGTATTTATAGATGTTCTAAAAAATATATAAAAAAAAAAACACTGTTAGAAATATGTATGTAATAGAAATGCAGAATGAGTGTCTAAGACACATCGAGATTAATGACGCCCAGTGAAAATTTGTATAAAAGCCTTTGCACATGTTGGCATGTTGCAGTTTGTCAACAGCTTGTGCTTTTATGCCTCTCTCTGTTGCATCTTTTATCACACTAACATACGACCTTGGTTGGTGTAATTGGCACTTAGTCTTTGCTCAGAAGTTAGCCTCACTAATTAAAGGTTTGAGCATGAGCCTGACTTATTAGGTGTGGAGGTTTTTCAAGCCTGGAAATTAGTAGCAATGATGTTATCAATCACATTTTCTTTTACAGTTTGCATAATCATATTCTAGTGTGTATTCATCTGATGTCAGACTCAGATTGATTAAAGTAAACATGCCGTGTGTTCATACCACATATGTTATAACAAGGCTAACACAGCATGGTGTCACAGTATGGGGCCATCTTGTGACACAACAAAAAAAGAAAATGGAATGATGTCGTGTCTATATTTCCACTTAGTCAGGTTTTCCTCTCCTGTGAATCTTTATCCCTGCAGGGAGGACCTATAATGACCTGAACCAGTACCCTATCTTCCCCTGGGTCTTGACCAACTATGATTCAGAGGAGCTCGATCTCACTCTGCCTGGCAACTTCAGAGACCTCTCCAAGGTTAGAGCACTCAGACGCACAACACTCACTGCACTTTTTCCATAAAATAGTTTATGTGCTACGAATATTATAAAACCAAAAATGAGAAATACATATCATATTTTGTCATATACTGTACTGAGGTTTAGTAGGAAAATGCATTCTCTCTTTTTACAGCAGATCAAAAAGGACACAAGCTTGTTATTTTTATTGTCCAGCCATTGACCACTGACTTAAGTGGATTATTTCTCTCTGGTTTCCTCCAGCCAATCGGTGCACTGAATCCCAAGCGAGCAGCGTTTTACGCAGAGCGCTACGAGACGTGGGACGACGACAGCACGCCTCCTCACCACTATACAACCCTGTACTCCACCGCTCATTCAACACTGATGTGGATGCTCAGAATAGTGAGTACCTACTTAAGACACTTACAAACCATCAGCCCTATCAACCCCTCAGCAGCTGTTTGAAAACACCCGGGACACACAGGGCTTCTTTTCAAATGAATTTGTCTCTTCTTGTGCCTGTAGGAGCCCTTCACCACATTTTTCCTCAACGCCAACGATAGCAAGTTTGACCATCCAGAGAGATCCTTCTCTGGCATCGGCCGCTCGTGGAGGAACTGTCAGAGGGACACGGCTGATGTCAAGGTATTCCTGACGGGCTGAAGGAACAACATACTGAAGTGACAGCCTGTGAAGAGGCAGTGCTGAGATAATAACTGAAAACACAAAAACACAGAGAGTAGCATGATTTTCAGCTAAATATGTTTTTGTGTTTGAAGTGCTGTTAAGCTATTCTAGTTTTAATTTAAAGGTATTTAATTGTATGAGGAGTGTCAGTAACTGTACTTGTAGATGCACACATTGTCTGTGTGTCAGAATTGCACACAAGGCCACGATATACATTATTTTTCCTATGGTCATACAGTTGGTATAAAATATTTGGTTTCTGTTCTCTTCAGTACGTATTTACTTGTAGTATTTTTTATAAGTCCTGGAGGGTATAATTTAAATATTGGTGAAAACAGCTTGTGCGTGTCAGCTTTGAAAGACTGCTAATTATAGTTGATATCTTTAACATTACATTTAATAGCAGATTTCGGGAAGAAATAATTTTGTCGTGAATCCGTTGTATCCTTCAGGAGCTGATCCCAGAGTTCTACTATTTGCCGGAGATGTTTGTCAACAGTAATGAGTATGAGCTCGGGGTGCGTGAAGATGGAGTCCCTGTGTGTGACATAGAGCTTCCTGCCTGGGCCAAGAAACCTGAAGACTTTGTCCGCATTAACCGGATGGTGAGAGACACCCGAAAATAAAAAGCTAAAAGAAAAATCTTTCGCCTCTGCCTTTAAATCCACCGGAGGGACATTGAACATATTCCTGACCTCTTTCTGCCTCTCTCTCTCTTTCTCTCTCTCTCTGCACATGACCAGGCGTTGGAGAGCGAGTTTGTGTCGTGCCAGCTTCACCAGTGGATTGATCTAATATTTGGCTACAAGCAGCGAGGGCCAGAGGCGGTCCGAGCCCTCAACGTGTTCAACTTCTTGTCCTACGAGGGAGCGGTCACCCTCGACAATTTAGATGCTGCGCAACGCGAGGTTGGTCTCCCAACACATCGCTCTTGTTTGAGTCAGAAACGGATTATTACAGTGCAGTAATCTCCCTCTCATTCTCATGATGCATCTGCGAGATTTCTTCATGCAGTCGCGTCACATTGATGTAAAGTGGGATAATTAGTTATTAGATAATTACTCTTTATGGCTGAGAATTTTAGGGAAAGTAAAAGAAAAAAAAGTTGAGGGGAACATGTGTGGCTTTGCACATCATCTTTTTTAATGTTTTTTTTTTTTTTTTAAAGTGTGTGACCTTCCTCTTCCTCTCCCATGCTACCATCATCTCTGTCTCTCCGCCTGCAGGTCATTGAGATGCAGATTCAGCTCTGCGGTCAGATCCCCTCCCAGCTGCTGATAGAGCCGCACCCACCTCGCTCCTCCGCCATGCACCTGGTGAGAAAACCTTGGTCTCACCCGAGCGAGTTTTTCTCTCTTTAAATGCTGTGCACACATCGCAAACCTCAGCTGCAGAGATATACTTGCTCATTTCTTTTCGAGGTTGTTGTTGAGATAAGGTTAAGAAAAGGAAGTGTTTTTTTTTATTTATTTTTTTATTACAGGTTTAAAGGTTTGTATGTGCAAATACTGAACCTTCATATTTTTGTAACACATTTTAGCTCTATACACCTGTTAACATTAGACACAATCCACTGATATGAACGGCTTCCGTTACGAAGGTGAATGGATTTGTGAAATGATATTACATACATGTGTATGTAATGATGTTTTTTCAAAGCCAGTCCTGCCCTGGTATCAGCCTCTCTGTCCTCCCTGCTACCCTCAGCAGCACGAGGCCTCAGTGTCTCCACATCAGAGCCATCCATGTCCCAACCCAAACCTGTCAGTCCTGAACCCAGACCAACCAGTGCCTCCATCTCCTCTCCTGAGCCCAGAGCCACCCTCAGTGTGTGTACCTGCTCTGACCCTGTGCTCCCACTAATATACCTTTTCCCTTCCCTCCCTCTGTCCCATCTGTTCTGTCTCTCCCTCTTCCTACGTCTCCATTCCCCCCTCCCCTCCCCTCCTCCTCCTCCTGACCTTCCCTCCTCGCTCTGCCCTTCTCTCTTCCTCCCCCTCTCTGTCCCTCTCTCTTTCTCTGTCTGTCTCACCAGTGTTTCCTTCCCCAGAGCCCTCTGATGTTTAAGGATCAGATGCAGCAGGACGTCATCATGGTGCTCAAGTTCCCCTCCAACTCCCCTGTCACACACGTCGCAGCCAACACGCTCCCCCACCTCAGCATACCGGCAGCCGTCACCGTCACGTGTAGCCGGCTGTTTGCGGTCAACCGCTGGCACAACACAGTTGGTGAGTGCTGGTGTGGAGGGGAACTGGTCTGTAGAATGCAGTGTGATACTGTTATTGTCAGCTGGTTTCTATGGCAATACAATGAAACGACATTTCATCTATTGCCATTAAGTAATGATAACCAAATTCATTCATTCATAGTTTCAAGCATGGAACTATGAAGAACGAAGCATGACTTTACATTATCTTAGCAAATATACAGTTTCGTTATTTTGGCTATCATTTGTGTGTTTTACACACATTCCAACTTCACACCAGTGGTTTCACCTATTCAGGACGTAATGTGACTACATTTCTGAAACATCACTACAACAATCCCTCTGACAATACAGTAACATACAGAGTTCATGTGCTGAAATAATTGGTCAATTAATCAATAAGTCAAAAAAACAACAGCTGCTGGTTCCAGCTTTAAAAAAAAATTTTAAAAAATGAATAACTTGTGTTTTTTTAGATGACAAGTTGGACAAATGCAATTTAAAGACATGACTTTGGGATTTGGGAAATTATAATAGCATATAGTTAAGACTAATTTATGGAAACCTGCAAGGCGTATACACTCAGTGAGATGTTAGTTCATGTCAGTGGTAGTTACTGAGCCCATTGTTTTTGGTTTTGTTGTACTGGATTGTATCATATTAGTCGTGAGCTGTTAGCTCACACCCTGTATGTTGACATAGAAATACTTTTTGATTAAAGCCATCATTAACCTCATTAATTGCCTCATTAGCACAGCAGGCTAGGTGTAATTAACTATGGTAAAGTGATTATGGAGGGTCATGAGGCGGTTCAAGTGAGTTTTGTTATTGATTGCTTATTTTTAGAAGCTGTGACAGCGTGACTGGTATTGTTTTTGTGAATTTGTGTGTGCACACAATAAGGAATGCATTATGCCAATGAATGTCCTTGACATCACGGCAAAATGTGTTCCTGGAGACACGTACTGCAGCAGGAACTATCACAGAGGTGGATTTGATACCTTCGCAGGTGTTTATGTGTCTGTGGACAGATTCTGTTACTGCAATAGTGTCACAAGATTCATCAAAATGAAAGTCCAGTTTGAAGATGGGTGTGGTCTGACCCATGAGTCCTGAGTAGTCATGTAAATAACGTACTGATGTGTGATCCCATCACAAGATGGTCTCTAGTTCAACATAAGCCTGTATCAGAGCGATCAACAGAGAGCGCTTTACCAGTTGATTATATGAGAGGATGCAGTGCAGCATTTACCCTTCACTGTTTTATTATGTGTGTATGTGGGTATGTATGACTGTCGTAACATTTGATCCCCCCGCCCTTCAGGCCTCCGTGGAGCTCCAGGATACTCCCTGGAACAGGCTCATCACCTGCCCATTGAGATGGACCCTCTCATAGGTCAGTGCACAAACATCTCCACAGCAGATTTCACTTCTTCCATTTTGGCATTTGAGATAATATTGACAACTTCCACCCAGATCCGTTAATAAAATATGCTGAGGGATGATCTTTACAATGTCTACAACATTACTAGAAGGAGACAGTTTTTTATAAGCAGACTGCAGAGTTGCTGACACTTAAATCACTGACCTGAGTGATGAACTATCCCGAGAGGTTAGAGGAGTTCATTACATTAGCTTGTTAGTGGTATTGCATCTGTACGCCCTCATTAACCCACAGCATCCCTGTTCATCCGTGCAGCAAACAACTCAGGCGTGAACAAGCGTCAGATCACTGACCTGGTGGACCAGAGCATCCAAATCAACACACACTGTTTTGTGGTTACTGCCGACAACCGCTACATCCTGGTCTGCGGCTTCTGGGACAAGAGCTTCCGTGTTTACTCCACTGAAACTGGTAGGGGTTTTGTATTATTCATTTCAAGACATGTTGGGTATTTCGCACAGTAGAAATTTACTCTCAGCTGCAATTTGTTTCTGAACCAGAGGTCCTAGTTTAAATGTGGACCATGTTGAATTTTTATTTAGATTAATGGATCGAGGGGAGATTCGGAGAGCTCTTTTTTTTAGATGAGCTTTGCTGTATTTATTAGTCCAGGGGTTCAAACATGTCACACACTACTCACTAACCTGCTTGTTTAACCTGCCATCTCCAAGTGTATTTTAAAAGTTTAACAGTCGTGGCCCTCAGAAGTATGAGTAGAGGGCACACACAGACTGAGCCGTCTTCCTCCTTCCTTCCTCTCCGCAGGAAAGCTGACCCAGATAGTTTTTGGCCACTGGGATGTGGTGACGTGTCTGGCGAGGTCAGAGTCCTACATCGGAGGAGACTGCTACATCGTTTCAGGCTCCAGAGACGCCACTCTTCTTCTGTGGTACTGGAGTGGACGACACCACATTATAGGGGACAACCCTAATAACAGTGAGTGGTGGCATGGTGTGAATGTTTGCCGGCCTCTGTGTGTTCACTTCAGCTCTGCAGGAATGGGAAGCTTCTAACCAGAGGTTTGTGGAGATGTGTCTCTCACTGTGTTTTCTCCTCCAGGTGACTATCCTGCCCCCCGGGCAGTACTGACAGGACATGACCACGAGGTGGTGTGTGTGTCTGTCTGTGCAGAGCTGGGATTGGTCATCAGTGGAGCTAAAGGTTTGTGTGTCTTCATATGTCTGTCTCTGCCCTAGAGCTATTTTAATTTTACATTTAGATTTATAAATTTTTTTAGTGAATATTAAATATCAGTTAAAAAAAGATATATATTTAAACCCTCCTTTGCTGACACACATCAGCATAAAACATTATGAGGAGATCATCCTGGAGATATTCAATTTATTCTACATTCTTCCCAAAGTTTGATTTCTAAGTAAATTTTAGAGGTTGGGCTGATACTTAACAAAAAAAAAAGGTTTAACTTTCTACACTAACTTGCTTTGGTGTTGCTCCTCAGAGGGCCCGTGTCTGGTCCACACTATTACAGGGGACTTGCTTAGGGCCCTGGAGGGGCCTGAGCTGTGCCAGAGGCCCCGTCTCATCTCAGTGTCCAGCGAAGGCCACTGCATCATCTACTACGAGAGAGGCCGCTTCTGCAACTTCAGCATAAATGGAAAACTGCTGGCGCAAATGGAGGTTAACGATTCCACACGGGTAAGGCTGTCCGAGTTGATGCTGTTTATGTCACTATAATGTAATATTATTTTACTCATAAAAATATATTTACTATAATATACTGTCTCTTTCAACTGCTCTGTCTTCTCTTCTTCTTCCCTCCAGGCGATCCTGTTGAGCAGTGACGGACAGAACTTGGTGACCGGAGGTGATAATGGGGTTGTGGAGGTGTGGCAGGCGTGCGACTTCAAACAGCTTTACATCTACCCAGGCTGTGATGCCGGCATCCGTGCCATGGACCTGTCACATGACCAGAGGTAAAAACAGACAGGGTGTCACTGTGACCGTTTGTGTGACCGTTTGTGTGACTGTTTGTGTGACCGTTTATAAGAAGGCAGCCAAATTCAGGGCTGTGTTTTCTTAAGGACGACTGTTGTTGGGAAAACTGGGTCACCTCCAAGGGGACAGCAGAGAATACTAAATGATCAGACATGCGGCGGTTATTTTACCCAAACCTCACATGATTTCTCAGGCCCAGGGAAATGAGTGAATGAGTATTTTATGGGTAACGTGTATAGTTTGGTTTACAGCTGTGACTTTGTGTGTGCCCTCCTATCAGGACTCTGATCACTGGCATGGCGTCCGGCAGCATTGTGGCGTTCAACATAGACTTCAACCGCTGGCACTACGAACACCAGAACAGGTACTGAGGTGGACAGCTTGAGGAAGAGGAGGGTGGAGAGGAGAGATAGAACAAGAGGGAAAGGAGATGATGCATTCTGCTGTGTATCTGCGACGTGGGGAAACTACAGGTACTGAGAGGAAGGAAAAACAAGTACCGGACCTTAGGCTCTATTCCGTTGAAGAAGTTTACTTGATATGAGGATGCGGCAGCGCTGCTGGAAATAACTTCCTCTGTGCATACGTGTAAGTACACACACGTGTGTAACCACAGACACATAATACCCCGAAGATACACACCAAAACCTGCTAATAAAATAGACAGACTGCAGAATGGAGAGAAAAAGAGCAAGTCAAGCAGACCTTGTAGAGGTCGATCATATCCGTACCACTCACAGGACTGGTGCAGTTGCTGTTGCTGGTACGCTTAATGCTTCACAGACAATGAACCTAAGTTTTGTTTTCTCCTTTCTTTTTCTCGTTTTCAAATTTTTGTTCCATACTTTTCATTTGAGGGGAGTTGCATCTGGGAATTATTTGGGTGGACTATGAATTAAGACTCCTTCAATGTGTCTAAACTGATTAGAAATGGTCAGAAATGAACCAGCCCCACCCACTATTCAGATACCGGTGCTATTGGCTTGATCTTAAATTCACCCTTGAAAAAATTGCCTGGGGTATGATTTTATTTTATTTTACCTTATTTGATTTTATCAGGTTTTATTTTATTTTCTAATATTAATTTTCTTTTATTTTTCTTTTACCCACAGCAGGGTTAAGTCTGATTTTTATGTAAATAAGGCTCTGCTTCCTTCAGAGTCTACACTTGTTCTTTCACTACACAAACTGCGCTTATCACCTTTAATTTATTAATGACTTGCTGTATGTAAAATATTGTGTAATAATTATTATAATGTTGACAAGACTGATGGTAATAACGGCAGTGTCAAGGATGATGATGGGTTTTGCCGGAGATGGTGATGATAAAGAGGTCTTGCCAGTGCCACCACAGATGACAACCACAAGACTGACATGATTTCCTTTGTATATTTGGTGATTGTTTTGTCAAATATGTACATATAGTCTTGGTTCAGGCTTGGTGGGAGACTTAATCAGCTGAATAAGACTGAAACTGCAAAGGAAACCTTCACTTACCCACATTTGTTGATTATTTAAAAAAAGAGAATCAAATCAATGTAAAAGTTTGTTTTGTATTTGCACTTTGCACCAATCACATATCATTATTTATTAGCTTGGTTCTTTCTGGTCGGCTGCCATTTTGTTTCGGTCCATTTTCCCGACGGGATTATTTGTGCATTGATGTTTGTATTTAAAAACGTTGAGCTCATGTGTGATTATTAAGTTTTACAACCTCACAGTTGTAAGCAATATCATGATTCTGTAGCTGATAGAGGTGGGAAGGAGGGCGGAGAGGGGATGATGAAAATGTGAGATGTACTGTATGTGTGAAGCCATCTTGATCAAATGCGCACATGCACATACTCTATCGACAGGTTCAACTTACGTATCCAAAAAAAGGTTAAATATTTTTGGATCTATGAAACCCTAAAAACTATTGTATTCATGTTTTATTGCAAAGATGTAAAATATGACATGTGTGAGTTGAAAAAAAAAATCATGATAAGAAAAATAAAATATGCAAAGAATTTGATGACTTGACTTTTCATTGGGCATTTCATTCTTTCTTTTTTTTCTTTTTTTTCACAAACGATATTGAGACATCAAGCACGTTTTATTGTAGCATTCATCCTACACCGGTCTAAAAGGAATTTTCCTTCCTAAAATGATTTCAGAAGACTCTTCAGATAATATCTTGAACTCAAAACTCACTTGACTACTCACTTGCTGAACCACCATTGCTGTGGTTTTCATCTCAGGTGTCTGTTGATATCAGTCATTTTGTGCAACACTTAAAAAGAACACAGACGCCTCTTAACACATACAGAGAAATGCCTTCCAGTTCCCATTTGCGGCTCTTCAGCCTCATCTGGTCTGATCCTGCATTGTAGCCTGCTGAATTCAGTCTTTAAGTAAAAAGGTGCTTGAACTAGGCCTTTTCCAGTTGTGTTCATGCACTTTATGCAGCAGACCCAGTAATAATAATCAGATATAAATAATAAAAAGAATAAAAAACAGAAATACACCAATTAAAAGTGTTTAAAAAAAAAAGAGAACAAAGCAGGTTCAGTGTGGCAGAGAGGACGAAATTAATGGTGTTCATTAGCCAGTGAAGCAAAGATAAATTTACAGTCACAAGGTATACAGCACAGGAAATCAAATTTCAGTGTTTTATTTGTTCTAATATCCATAAGAAGATATATTTGTGATTTTAAGAACCAAAAACCTTCTCAATGTAGTTTTACATCTCCTCTCTCAGGCTTCTCTCTGGAGCTCTAGTGACAACAGGTCAGTCAGAGTCTCTCTTCTGATTGGCTGACTGTTTTCAGAGTGATCTAAAAAATAATATAGCAGCATTCAGGTAAGGTTGGATGGTGGGTCCGGGTGGGCGGGGCTTGGGGCACGGCTGAGCGCAATGACTGCTTTGTTGTGACATCACAAAGTTACAGTGGTCCTGACGGCTCGTTTTAAGGCTCAGTTTCTGAATACAGGCTGTGAGCATTTCTCTGTGGACTGAGCGCTTTGATACTTTCACAGTATTAATATAGAACCTATAATTAAAAAAAAACACATGGAAATCTCACTTTATACAATATGGGGCCTTTAATCTGCAGTATTTTGTTAAACATCGACAGACTAAAATAATGATTTTACTACATGGTTAACTTGAAAACAAATGTTTTAGCGATTATTTCAAACTTTCATTTTTTACACTACCTTCAACAAAAAGGCTCTGGATCATCTTTCAACTGGTTTGCACAGATTCACCCGCAGCTGAAATAATGAACTGAATTGTTGGTGATAGCACCGCAAACATGATGTCTAGCTGAAGGGATGTCATCATGAAACAAAAATTTAATTGTGTGCTTTTATTTTTTGGGTCAATATAGATGAGGTAACTGATAAGATAAAAGGATTTTTTTTTTAAATTCAATTGAGCGTATTTACAATCTAGTGAATATACTACATTAATCCTCCTAAATTTACAAGACAAACACAGCCATGAAAGATCTCATTTATAATCCATATTATAAACAAAGGTGTTGCACTCGCTGCTCTCAAAGCATGAACCAGAGAGAGTGTTTTTTAATTAATATAATTTGTTAGTCCATGTGTCAGTTCCTTTAAAGAAGAAAAAGGAGGCTTTTATGACAAAACCCTTCCAGCAGATATACAAGAGTTTGGCTGATGCATCGCCGTCATCTGACAAACACAGATTAATGTGAGAACAATGAGGATCTGTGAAGAAGAGCACTGACAGATCTGACTCATTCCCTTGTTCGTGGCCACCATCACTGCCATCTGAGCCTTCAGTGTTTCTTGATTGTTACTGACTTTGGTGAAAAAAGGTGTGACAAGGACGAATTAAACCAGTGTGCTGGATTTTTGTTTCCACGTCAAAGAAACTAGAGCTCATTATTTAAAAAAAAAAAAAAAGAAAGATGTATTTTAGGCAGAAACAACCATTACTGTAGCTTAAGCCTGACAGCTACACAGAGCTCTCATGCTTCAGTCACTATGGAGACTGCGATCGGACGCCACATGAGCTGACAGGCAGGAGAGGGTAATCCGTTACGCTGGTAGACCTTGTCTTTCAGGACCAGAATTTCGTCTTGTACTTTCTGCCACTTTTGACCTGGTCTGTCTGTAGCGGCAGTCAGAGGCTGCATGGATGTCAGCAGTCTACAACCTCCATTTCTTTCTCACCTTCACATCCACTCCACCACGTCTGTCTTCTCCTTTTCACCCAACCGGAGGGGAATCATGAACCAGTTTGGCATGTACACACTTTTCAAGGTATTTTACTCTTTGTTTGGTAAAAAAAAAAAAAAGAAAAAAAAAGTGGAGATACAGCATCCCAAAGCTTTACTGAGCAACTGAGACAGAAGCATGCATTTCTGTACAAAGCAATGGTCTTTAATATTATTTCAATACTGATTTTTGCAGTGTACTCTACAGACATTATGAGGCATGCTGTACAAAGCTTCACTTGAAAACAATGAAGGTTGTTCTACAGTAAATATGACAGGTACAGTACAAGAAATAACTTTTACAAAAAAGGAAGAAAGACAATAGTTCATCCATATCCCTTTTCCTGCAGAGAGGAGGCAATTTTCCTGGTTCATTTGTCTTAATCATTGAAATAAGGCTCAGAAGGGTTCAGTCACACTCACCCCTGAAGACCTCTTCATCAAATTGTGAGTCATATTTCCCCTGTGCCTGAGCAAATTGCTTGGACACACCTGAATCAGTGGACCGTTGGGAGTAGAATATGCATGCAGAGAGAGTAAAGCCACGCTGTCAGCTCTTTTGTAGCTGGTGGTGTGTGTTTGTTTTTGTATGTCACAGTGAGGAGGAGCAAGAGCTGTATGTCTTTATGCGTGTGCATGCATGCCTGTTGTTTGCATGTAAGCATGCATGCTGGAGTGAATGCACACGGGCATATATGTCTGTGTGCACTCCCTCCCATCTCCCTCCCTCTCGTCCTCAGGTGGACAGTGAGGAGATGGTGGACCTCTGAGACGAGATGCTGCAGATCTCCATGTTGGTGAAGGAGCTCCCTCCTTCGCTGCTGCAGTCGGGGACGGAGGAGGAGGAGGAGATGATGTTCTTCAGCCTGTGGAGGGAGATGATGAGCAGCGTGAGCAGGAACACCAGCAGGCCGAGGAAGAGCCACACGTAAACATAAACGTTGCCTGGACGTCCCGGCGATGAGGCGGCCGCTGACGTGGAGGCAGAGGTTGGAGAGAATCGGAGGAAGGTCCCATTGTCTATTGGAGAGATTCCAGTCTCATTGTGGTCCACCAGCGGGACATCCATCCCAGACATCCTTGCTGATTTGATGGCACATTAAAAAAGAAGGGTCAGATTTATCATGAAACAACAGAAACACAGTTAACTACAACATTCATTATTTAAATGACCTGTAGGAGAAATTCTCCTTTGTCTGCTGGAGCTGCCAGGGATTTAATTTCTCCCTCCAGGACACTTCAGCATGGCAGATGCTTGCTGACACAAGAGCTTTCAACCACATCCTTAGATAACCTCCAAACAGCCTTGGCTGAGGTTAAAAGGAAGACAGAGAGCACTTCAGTGATTCAGATTCAAGGCCAACAATTTACTGCAAGAGCCCCAGATACAGAAAAGACTTCCATCTAATAACATTTGAAAATAATAATGATTCCCTCTATCCCTCTTGGAGCACCATTGGAGAGTTCAGGAAACAAGCAAATTAACTTCAAAATACTCTTTACTTTACAAAATATACAAAGGCTGAAATATGACTTTGCTAAGGCTGTTATTAGGAGTAGTGTACTTTGAAAAGTCAGTGAGCTTGTTCAACTGAAGGGACTGTACTGACCAGACTGTAATGAACAGTAACAGCAGGGGGAGTGCTTGTCTCACTGAATGCCCGCCAGGCTTGGTGCCGGGAGCTGCGACTGCTCATAAAGGAAGGCATCCTTATCTGATGAAATTAAACTCCTTATAATCAGCTTTCATAAAGACAGCTGAGAGCCAACCCTCCTCCACTGTGTATTAATGCTGCTAATAATGTTCCACCGCAAATCACTGCATGGCACACAAACCAAACCTGAAGAGAAGATGTGCCTGAGCATTGCGGTGCAGAAACATTCACACAAGTCTTTGTGTTGGTGGGAGACAGGAGGAAAGGGAGAGTGAGGCTGTTTTGTATTTCTGTTAGACCAGCCTTGTGTCTTGACTTGATCTATGACAGCAGAGAAAGACACTTCAAAGGGAGAAATAATTGACCATGACCAGAATGAAAGCAAGAGGTCAGCAAACACACACGTGCACACACTCACACTCACACTCTTGGTGTCCCAGCGGTGTGTGCTCGCTTCTTTCTTATCTGCCAGCTCCTTCCTCTCCACTTCATGGTTATGCATTTCACAATGCACCATATACATGTGCCTGGCCACTTGCATTATATTCAGGGTAGTGGAGTAAGCTGTACTTTCTCCAGAAGCCCTGAGGCTGCAATAGCTGCATGTGTGGCCCCCAGGGAATTTCTAGTACATTTGTGAGGGAGAGGACGGTGCAGTGAAGGTGCAGAGAAAATGCTAAATATATATAAGAAGAAGTTTGGACATTAAGTTTTACTGTATTTTGTGCCAGTGACAGTAGAAAGTGTAAAGTGTTAAGCGTATGTGTGTCTGTGTTACTAATATAAAGCTCAAGAGGGTGTTCTGAGCTTAGTTATGTTGCCAGATTGGGCGGACATTGGGGTGTTTTCCTTTAAATGGGCGTATAAACTTGATTTGTGCGGTTTGTTATAATTTGAGCTGATAGGGAGGCGCGAAAAGAGTAACATGAGGCAAAGATATTGCTTTTGGTTAAAAGGACACGTGCTTCCAGGTGTTCTGCAAACTACAGGAAGTTAGTCAATGTTGTTTTTCCCATTTGATCAACACCACCACCAGCAGCTGCAGCAGCAGCCATGCGCAGCTCCTGGAGGAAATGAAGGTAGGTTATACTTTTTAGCGCCAGATTTCCGGAATTAGTGTAAAAAATTACAGTTATATCTGAGTCAAATCTGGAAGCACAGACACGACACACGTATTTTAGGATTCGGTGTGACTTACACTTTCCGAGGATATCATTAAATCCGAAAAAAGATGTCCCTTGTACTTCCAGAACTTGCCTGAGAATGATCATATTTTTATGTTTTCTTCAGTATCAAGGTGATTCATTAATAGTTCTCAGTACGTTTAATGGTTAGTAAACAGGGACAGCCAACAGTGAATTCGGCGTAATTATTTTTTTCCGAAATGTAAACAAACAGGCTAAAAAAAAAACGGGGCTCATTAAATCCATTGCAACACTCATGTTCCCCGTAAAAGTTCACGTCTTACAGCTAATTATAAGGCCAGACAATAAACACTGTTGCTGACTGCAGCTACTATATTGGTACTTTTATCCTGAGAAAATACATCGTAAACTCTTGTACACTATAAACATTTGCATAGGTCGGAAATAAAGTTGCGAGTCTGTTTTTAACATGCAAGGCCTGGATATGTGCTGGAGGTGTTAGCGACTGGTATTAGACCAATCCCATTTGGTCGTTTGGTGTTATTTTATAGATTTTTTTTCTTTTTTTCTTTACTGTCAACAGTGTAGTCGGTGAGTGCAGTTTAAGTCCATTGCTAGTGGACAGGCTTCTAGCTGTCTACTTTTGCACAGGTGACTCCTGTTTTAAAGTGTGGCACCAACGTTTTCAATCATTCAGTCTGTAACACTTATCAATGCTGTTAACAAACTCCCATTGTGTCATATTGCCTTTGAAGTTGAAGCCAGCCACCCTGTCCCCTAACTCTTTTCTTCTTCATTTGTTCGCTCCCTTTTATTTTCTTCCCGCTTCTCTCCATTTGTCTCTCTGTGGATGGTACAGTTGACAAGATCTCTGCTTGCTTTAATTTACAGTCCGCTGTACCTTGGGGGGGGGGGGGGGCATAATGAGGATGGATGAGTTAGGCTGTACTCTTTCAGTGATTGCATGCTCCCTTTGCCCCAGCTCTGTTTTCTTTATCAAACACTCCCAGTGGCTTTCCCAGCCCAATGAAAAACTTTCCTTTATTGTCTGTTTCTGTCCAGCAACTTTTCAGACTTTTTTCAACATGCTTCTATTCATTTCATTAAAAAAAGGACCACGTTATTTCAATAATCATTTCAAATTCCACATCAGTTTTACTCTTGTAAGCTCAACATATGTCAATCATGTCATGTGCATGTCAGAAATGGAACTGAACCCCCGCCCTCTNGTTGTATTGATATTTCACTGCACAGACATTGCCCTTCCCTCCTTCTGCCTCCTTTTTTCAACATGCTTCTATTCATTTCATTAAAAAAAAGGACCACGTTATTTCAGTAATCATTTCAAATTCCACATCAGTTTTACTCTTGTAAGCTCAACATATGTCAATCATGTCATGTGCATGTCAGAAATGGAACTGAACCCCCGCCCTCTAGCTTCGTCTTCATCTCTCTACTTTAATTTCTTCTTCTCCTCATCTCTGCCACCTTTTCCTCCGCCCTTCTCTTTGTCTTTCCCCTCCTACTCTCCTCTTCTCCGTACAGATTGCTGCCGTTAATGATATGTTGTTTTGAAATCTGTGATGAAGCTTGTTCATTGTGAGCTGAAGTGGCTGATAATTGTGCTTAATGATGCTTTTTGTATCCAGGCAACACGGTGCCTTCAGTTCTTTTTTTTCAAGCTAATCTACTTTAACAGGGCAGGCCATGCAGTCCCACTGAGGCTGGGGAGGTCACACACTCGCCTACATATAATAAATACCAGTACATATTTTTCCTTAGCAATAGCTGCAAGCCTATTACAGAGAACACTGAGGGCTAATTTGGAAAATGATTTGTCTTTATTGAGGAAAATTACATAAATGCCTAAACTTTTTGGTTTAGCCAGTGTGAAATGTTAGTATTTTACTCTTGTCTCTAAAACATCAGCAATCTACTGCTTTCCATGTTTTCCTGCCAAGTAACAGAGCCACATGTCTGCTCTCTAAGGGCTGGATAAAAAAAAAAGAAAGACTTTTCTGATTAATTGTAATTTTTATTTTAACAAGCTAATACCGATATTTTTAATCCTGAGACCAATCTTTGCATTTGCGCCTTTTCTCTGTAAATGCACATCTGCACTAAACGTTCTATGTATGCAGGGGTTGGTTCAGTTAGGGCTGCATGATGGGTAAGATGTCTGTTCTGAGGAAACTGAGTTATTGCAATGTGAATAGGTTATTTCAAGTTAAAAAGTAGGAGTGGTTCCCAACCTGTGACCCACTGGTGAACCGTGAAGGTATTGCAAGTAGGCTGACAAATCCTTTGCAAAATACAATTTTGGTGAAAAAATTTTATTATAAAAAATATAAATACAAACAATGTTTTTAAATATTTTAAAATAAAATGATCTTTAAAAAAATTTGAAAAACTCCTTTAATTTTTTTCTTCTTCTTGTATTAAAGTCTATCACTGTGATTAGCCAGTAATAGGAACTTGTATGTTGTCCCGCCGGACTGCATCGCATACTTGTTTGCTATTATAGTTTGATTGTACGCTACAAGATAACCGCTGCCATAGATGATAGCTGGCTATATGAGCCGCCTCGAGCCCATGACTTGTCTTGTAAACTGGAGTGAACCGCCACAGTTCACATCACCGTGGTGACTGAGGATGTGGTTAGCTCACTCTGGCTATCTCATTATATCTATGAGAGGGATGGACTGAAAAAAAGACTTCACATTGATCTGAGCTCTCAGTTTGTGTTTGTTGAAAAGATAGTATCTCCAGCTATGAGATGTCTGTCCCTGCCGGGTAGCTGACACTGTCTAACCGGCTTGTTAACACAAACAGTGCAGATGAATTAGTGAGTGGGCCGTCACTTTCTGCCCCATCTGTGCTCAAAGTGCTGTACATAGTTGAAGCATCTGCCAGTGACAGTCCATGCATAGCTGTATGTGATAGCATTTATGTTTTAAAATATGCAAAACGATGACGCTGTTGTAAGTGTTGAAGGTTCTTTTTCATTAGTACTTAAATCCATGGTCCACAGGGGGCAATGTGTTTACAGTTTGGCCTGTAATGTGCACTTTTCATAATTTTATACACAACACTGCTGCTCACATGTTGAATGTAAAAGAAATGAAAGATCTTAAGCTCTTGAGTAACATTAGTATTTATCTGATGTAACTGACTCATGAAAAATCAAATCAAATGAAAATGGACTGATTTTGGCCAGCGTGAGTAGAAACCTAATCCAATTGGGAGATCAGAGCCGATACCCGGCCGCGCCGCTCTCTCTTATTTGCTTCCATATTAAAGGGTAACTTAACACCAGGCACCAGGTAAAAGTGTTTCACTGCCCTCTCCATGGTTGAAAGTTTCAAATCTGTTTCACCTGTGGCCGCATTGGACATCAGTGGTAGAGGAGTGGTCAAAAGTTGTCTTTGTTGCATCACTCAACAGTGATGCCAGGAAGTACTGACACACCAGGGAGTACGGTTCTACATCACTTTACCAAGGTGATTTTCAGAGTGAAGTTATTCTCTGGGTGATCTTTGTCTGGTTGTTTTTTTTTTTTCTTCTGAATTTGCGTGTCCTGGATTTTATTTTTGTCTTTTTGTCCAAGATGTCATTTTTGGCAGTTTGTTCTTGGGGTTTTCAACCCTGCTAAGTGCTCATCCAGCTGATCCTTGGTCTCCACGCAGCTTCACTCCACATCCCTAAGACTGGTCGGACTTTGTCCAGTTCTTTGGTCAGCTGAGCTCGAGTTTAACAGCATTTCTTTTCTGAGACTGGCAGAATAAACTGTGCCTTCCATTTTTTTTTTTTTATTTCTCTCCCACTGAGCTGTGATCTCACTTGTTCTCGAGTCTCTGTAACAACAGCCTGGCTTCATTTCAGCATTTTCTTAACTCTACTTAACTCTATCTTCTGTTTTGGGTTTTGGAGACCTCAGGTCCTCCTTAACATCTCAAGGAAATCATAATTTTATCATCTTGATGCTTAATGACTTTTGTGACTTATTTTTTATATATAGATATTGCTTATAAACTTTAACATTCATCAAATGTGGAAGGCCAGTTTGTGACAAAAGGAAGGAAGGGTTACCACTTCAATACTTATCGATACCTATTGGGTTTTGTTGAGGTCAGATGAAAAGAATTTAGGAAAAATGCAGCTTCTTCTTATCATTTTTTCAAAAAGAGCCGTGGAGTCGTCAACAGAACACACAGGTGCTGTGGTGGCTCTAAAGCTCTGTCATGGTTCCTCTTTTAGACATCAGCAGATACTGGAAATTGAGCTCGCCACAGTTTTCAAGGTTAAATTGAGACAATCTACAGCTGCCGCTTGTTTTGTTTGCTCTCATTCTCAACCTCACAGAGGAAAGGTCTTGCCGCTTCTACACTTCCCTCTGAGAAGGTAAAGGTTTTTTGGAGACATGAATGGCCTCTCTGTTGGACTGCTGGACCAGTATAATGGAAGCTGGCAGCAGCTGCTCCTGTCAGAAGCAAAGTGCAGTGACCTGACCGAACACAAGAGCTGGTGACATTCCCTGAGACTGGGCATCACCAGGGCCTGAGGTTCTTGTGACTTGACACATCTCATTTCCTCTTTAACAACTTAACAAGGAAGAAGTCGGTGCTCCTCACTCCCCGCCAGGTCCGTGTATAGTTCAGGCACTTTGAGGCTGTTCTGCCATTCAGACCTCCTTATTTTCCTGTTTCCTCCTGAGTCTCTCCGCCTTGAGCTCATCAATGGGTTCTCATAGAAGTGTTCTTCCTTTTCATTCCCATTTATGACTTTTTTTTCTGATTGATGTATTTCAGCGTTTTCAAAGTCAACATTGCCCTCTCGGCTCTGTCAAGAGCTTTTAATATATTCTGCATAGCCTCGGTTATCTCTACTGCACACTCTTCAAACCAGCTTTCTTCTGTCTCTGCTCCACTGTCGCTTGCTCAGTCTTGGCTTGAGCATATTTTGCCCACCACTAGTCTGTATCTGCAGGACTCCCAAAGGCTTCCCTTTGTCCTGATCAAACTCCTCCTTGAGCTGTGCAATCTCTGAAAGTCACCCCTCAAACAATCTCATCCTCTGCCGGTGGAGTATGTTCAGCCAAACTCCTCCTGAGACTTTGTGCCGTGTCGCTTCCTCTGCTCCACTTTCTCAATCTGCTCCTCACCCTCCACCCTCCTTCATTCTCCCATCGTCTCTTCGTAATCTTTTCACTGTCACTGTTCTGTGTGTATTCTGCACAGCGTGTCCTGTCTACATGAATATCCAGTCTACACATATTGATAAAACAGACGCAGATTCATGTGAGTGTGATTTTATTTTCTATTGATAAAATATGTAACTTTTGCACAAGCCTTTTTTATATTCACAACAGATTGTCCATGCATGGCTGAACATACTCATTCAAATTCAACCTTGAGCTCTTTTTTGATGACAGAAAAATAGCCTTGGCCATTACTGGAATTTTTGTAGTTCACACATGAAGCCGATGCAAATATTTACTAAAACCCAAAGTTCTAAGAGAGAGACGTTCTGTTGTCTGTGCAGTTCTGGTGTTCGCTTTTCACCTCATGAATAATGGACGAGATCCATGTGTGGCAAAATGTCATGGCATTTGAGCCATATTCTGTGTGTGTGTGTGTGTGTGTGCGCGCGCGCATTCATTCTCATGCTGTATTCATAATCCTCTGCCTGAACGAACAAAGTCAGATACCAGGTATAGTCATTCACATGCATGCCTATATGTAAAAATACCAAAGAATTTGCACACATACTTTCTACGCACACGCGCATGCAGATTGCCAGGAGATAAGAGTAGCCTGAATTTCAAACATGTTATATATCTCATATTCTGAGCCAGATCAGCTCAAAACAGACCCGAGGCTTAACCGCATGAATTCCAAATCGCCCCTGCAGACCCAAATACCACAGATAACCCAAGTAGGGGTCAGAGATATGCCGGGGTGATGAAAGTATGAAGAAAGGGAAGTTTCAGTGAGTCCTCAACCATTTTCATACTTTTTTTTTTTTTTTTCCTCCTTATTTCTCTGAAGTTTGGATTGTTTCTTTAAAATTGACTTTAAAATAATATCCATGTACAAATATAAATCAAATAACGTGCTGATAAATGACAAGTCTCCAGATTTTAGAAAGACAGGTGGAATTTGAATGAGTCTACAAAACAATGAACTAATGTTTTTATTCATTGCCTTTACATTTGAATGACACGATCTCACAGCACACCTGAGTGCTCTCGACGCCACGCCAGGGGTCGAGCACCACTGTTCAACTGTTATCTGATTCTCTCAGATATTCAGGGCATGAAAGTAAGGATTTCAAAAGGCCAAAATTTGAATGAGATCTCGGAGATACTGTGAAAGGCTTATTACAACCGACAGAAAGATAACATGGGTTAAAACCTGAGCAGACAGTGATCATCACCAATAGGAAGTATTGGAAGGTTTTCTTTTTTTTTTTTTTCGGCCAGTGGCCAGTGTAGATAATGAGCTCTTTTGCTTTGATGTTTGAGTGTGTGTGTGTGCGTGTGTGTGTGTGTGTTTGTGGTCCACTTCACCATATCCCTGTGGTGAAGTGTATTTTTACACCTCATATCTCATATCTGTTAATTACTCCTGATACTTCTGAGTGCAGTTGCCAATAAATCTGATCTGGACTGTTTTCACGCTGAGTTTATGATGATGAAGCGGATGAGTCACACATCGTGTCGAGCACAAACAAACCCAGCTTCTGTTCTCGTTGCCCTGAAAGGAGACTTTTATGCCCTCTTCTTTTTTCTCTCGGCACAAATGCTCCACTCATCCCTCACTCCATCCCTCTTTTCCTCAACTGCCACACTGGAAGCTCGCTCATTTCCGTCAGTTGCTGAATGAAAGTGTACATGAATCCCCCCCCCACCCACCCACCGTTAACCTTGTTTACTGGATGCTGCAACTCGGCTGCTGACGAATCTCCTGCAAGCATTCATTTTACTTTAATTCATCTTCCCTTTTTACTCTATGTCTTCCTTTCCGGCGCTCTCCCTCCTTTGTTTTCTCACTGCAGCTCTGCAGAAAGTGATAAATCACTGAACAAAGTTTCTGGCAACTGAAGAGAGCTGAATAATGCCTTTTTTATATTCATCAGGAATCTGCTCTTAATGATCAGTTTAACACCGTCCCCGCTCTGTCTCCCTCTCAAAAACAATTTGGAAACATTTCATACAAAAAAAAAAAAGAAGAAGCTGCCTGAAGCATCAGCCACATACATGACAATATTGGGGAAACAAAAGGAGCAGTTACAGACCTTTTTCTGTTTGAGGGAGCTGTCCCCCCGCTCCTGTTCACGTCGTGCAGAAATCCATCCCGTTGTGTTTGGTCTTTCAGGCGAGCAAACCAGATCTGTTGCCCCCGAGATCTCGTCTTCTCTCTCTCTCTCTCTCTTTCTCTCTCTCTCTCTCTCTCTCTCTCCTGTCATTCAGCGTGACCCACACACACACACGCACACACGCCTACACTACAACTGGAGTAGACAGTGTCAGACGCGGAGCCTCTCTGTGAATGGACTCACGCTCAAAAAGGGAACATGCATACACGAGGCCTGTAAGTGAGACGCTGTAACTAATGAATGGTACTGATGGTTTTTTATACTGGAGAAGTGGTGAAGAGGAAAGAAGAGAGGGAGTAGTGCTCACTCTAATCCCATCCTCTCTCTCTGTGACTCCCTCTGTCTCCACCCCCCCCAACCCCCCCACCCCACCCCTCACTTTTCTCTCTGCTGCTCGTCACCTTTCAACAGTGATCACATCAACTGTCACAGCCTCTCTGTCTTTTTGTTCTCATTGAGCATTGAGCAAATATTCCTCACAGGTCAACAGACAGACAGTCAGATAAACTGTTTTATAAATTGACAAATAAATCAGCGTTTTCTTTACACGCACACCCAAACCCGCAAACACAATCGAAGCCTTCGTTTCTGTGTGTTTTGTGTGAGGGATGCAGCCTCGATCTCTGCTCTCAGCAAACTGCGTCAGTAGACAGTATCCAGTGGTGAGCAATAACCTGGCTGACGAAGTGCTGGCAGACTGAGCAGCTCGGATGAGACCCCAAACCGGCAGATGAATGAGAAAAGGGGAAGAAACAGCCTTTAACACCTCTCAATCTCCCTGCACTGTTCTCTACGCCTCTCTTCATCTTAAAGCTCTTATCTTTTCTTTTACCTCCCTCTCTCTCCCACTGATCCCCCCCCCCACCTGTCTCAACAGTAGTTCTGTTGTTAACAGCAGTTGAGCACATCTGTTATCTGTGTAAAAAATGCCCAGTAAGATTTGAAAATGAACACATGCTGAAACAAATTACATATGAAACGAGATCATTTTTTCGAAAACGCTTTCCATATTTTTTTGGGGGAATTAAAGATCTGAAAATCGCCAATCATATAACTAAAGAGGATCCTATTCTCAAAAGTGTTTGGGCAACAAAAAAGGGGTCTTTATTAAAGGGTCAGTTCATCCAAATTATTAAACTACTAATTACTTACCAGTCTAGAAGAAATGTGCTGAAATTATGAGAATGTGGAGTTTTTCAGGTATTTGGTCATTAACCAAAGTGAATTTAAAATTTGACCTGATGCAGGTCTGGGATCACCACATTTATTACAATTAATACCAATCCATTGAGTAGATGTTGAGATATTTCACTGAAGAAGCGAAACATTTGACCTTCTGATGGCAGTCTGAAGTCAGAGGATCACCCAAAGTCACTGAATTCATCCTCTGGAGTTCATGAGTGTGTGTGTATGTGTGTGTAAAATTTCATGACAATCCATCCTGTGATTGTTCTGTCTGGACCAAAGTGACAACAGAACAACATCCCTTGTGCCGCTATGTCATTCCAGTAAAAGTAATCATGTCACTGTAAGCAAGTGTCTTGGGTTCACCTCACTCGGCAGCTTTAATAGGAAAACATTAGACGGGATATGGAGACGTATTGCAGTGTCCATCAGCAACAGTTTCCTCTGTGTCAAAAGCAGAAGGGGGACACATCCAGTCAAATACAGAAACATATGAATAAACATAGTTCAGTCTGTTCCCTTACTTTAAATAATCCACAAGCTGTCAACGGTTTTCATAATGATTTTTTTTTTTTTTTTTTTTGATAGTGTGTCGTTTCAGTTGAGAAAATATCTTTGGCCATTCGGGTGAACTGACACTTTAAAGTGTTTTACTTTGATGGTAAAAATGATTGTGAGAGTAGATAACTAATTTTGGAATGAAGCACTCCAAATAAGGATCATTTTCCTCTGATCTAAAATAAATGTTGTGCGTGACTCTGAATCTTATGCATGAGCTTGTTAGCACCTTAATGGTATTCATGGAGGTGTTAATTGTGCAGCAGATGACACCTGTCCCTGCTCTGCGAAGGGGAAAAGGCACCTTCTCCACCTCTGCAGATGCCCCCTGTCTTTTGCCATCTGCCCGCTGACACAGGCACCAGAGGGGAATAGCAGCAGTGCAGAACAGAGAGAGAGAGAGGAGAGATAAGACGAGGATTACTTTATTTCACATCCAAATCCGGCGTTCGCTAACATCACATGGCTGGTTTTCATGTGCACTTCAGACAGGGATTTGACAGGTATTTGAAGAGGTCTTGGAGTCATCTGATGAGCATATATCTGTTTGTGAATATTTTCTTTATCTGAACCACCCAAAAAAAAATGTTAATAAATATTTTAATGAGACTGTAGGCAGTTTCACTGGTGTTGACAGTACTGAGGGGGAGAGGACAGAGGAAAGGAACATTGCACATCATCTAATTATTTGAATAATTATTTTCCATGACCTCCATTCTACTAATCACACCCCACAAGACCTTTTCTAAACCAATGACAGGGAATCTGTACGCACACTCGATTCCTCATTTTCCTAAAGAGGGAATGTGTTTGGCAAAGCTAATTAAGTCTTTGTGAGTACGTGAGCTTGTGTCTGTGCAAACTCAAGTGTTCTTGTGTGTCTTTTTTTTTCTGTGTTGCATGTGTTCGTGTATGTACGCGAGAGAGGACTGAGGGATGGAGATAAGAGCTTTGGCCTCGGCTGGCTTTTGTCACTAATCCCGGAAGGCGAAGAAGTGGCCGCCGATTCCGTGTCATTCCCTGATATCCCAGCCAGTTCTGACTCCGTGCCATCCTGGCGCTGCCCTTGTGAGGACACCAGTCTCTGCACTGCATGTTAATGAGGCAGAGACATGCAGCGACGAGGGGTGTGCATCTGCATTTGGGGACTATTTTGGGCAGTGTGTGTTTGGGGATTTTGACAAGCTCATTCCGCTAAGCTCGTGGGAACATCTTTAAACTCTGAGATAACAGACAGGAAAGCGTCGAGATATTAGCTGCAAATAGGTTAGAAGTTCAGTGTATTTTAGATGGAGTACCAGATATGCTTTACATCTCTCTGGTAATCTGAACCAATTTGCAAAGCACCCCGCTGAGAGAGAAGCTAGCAAAAGCTAAATTTAAGACTTTGATGAGCACAGCTAAGCTGTTTCACTTGTCTTCTCCGTATTGTGAGATAAAGCGTTTTTGCATCTGTAATCTTGAAGACATTTAGAATGTGATATAGGTATTGTGCAGAATTATTTGTGATCCTCAGCTACATATTCAAAAATGTTCAACATCAGACATCAGCCAATAAATATGCACTAAGCTCCAGCTTTTCGTCTCGTTGCAGTGTCATGCCAATCTAAATGATCTCCACAGATCTGAGGGCATGGAGCAGAGACAACATAGTGAGGCATATGTATCACATTGACACAGGACAGCAGCCTGACAGGCGAGCGCTCGTCCAGAATAACAATGAGAGAGACAGCGATGCAATATCGGCACCGTCTCAAAGATACTCTCCCCATGAGTAGAGAAACAGAAACAGACAGGACCCAATGTACAAAAACATCATGTCTGAGCAAGAAACACTGAAAATATTGTTCTGCTAAAACCTTTACCACTAACAGTCTCGGCAATTTTGCCCTATTCCACTGAAGGGTACACTCTAAATTCATGAAAGAGGAGAAGAAAGGGAAAATGTCCTCAAAGTCAGATTCATTTGAATATATGAATAATTTAGTGCACCAAAAGATTTGGGGCCCTTAAATTGCAAATAAAAAAAAGCCCTTACTCTTCAGACATTCATAATTCATAAGCTCCATGGCTCAGGCAGAGAGAGACAGGGAGATGTGTGATGCACAACTTCGCCAATAGCAGGTATAGAGGAGACAAGAACAAAAGCTACAACGCAACACTTTGTCTTTTAGTGTAATTAATGAATCAGTTTACGTCTTTTTAGATTTCAGTCAGTCAGTGAATGTGAAATAATGGTTGACTTTACTCTCTCTCCCTGTCTTCCTCTCTGAATCACTCTGAATAGTTAATTACAGGGAAAGGAAATCCCAGCAGATCCCAAAATGTAAACAATTAAACTTTCATCAAAGGTTCGTGGCATTGTTGTGACATACTCTGATACTCCATAAAATGTTGCCCTCTGGTTACAGATTGGTTAAACAGTCCCTGTGTGTGTGTTATAGTTTACTTTTGGGGACAAATTTCAGACTAAAGACCAGTTCATTGGGGACGGCTTGTCCATAGATGGATAGATGGATAGATGGATGACTTTATTAATCCCTGGAGGGAAATTAAAATGTCATAGCAGCTGAGCTAAATAACGTTAAAATACAAAGTAGAGACAAAAATACACAGGTATTCCACAAGTATACAATAAAAATGACAAGTAGATAAATAAAAATAAATAAGTATATGTATATGGACTAATGTGCAAGAGTGTGAGTACAGGAGTGTTTAGGTGAATTATAGAGATGCATTATAGAGTCTGATTGCCTTAGGCAGGAATGACTTTCTATAACGTTCCAATTGAGAAAAACCAGATTATTGGGTTAGTGGTTAAGGTTAAAGTTAGGGTCAGGCAAGTGAATGTAAATCTATGTAATGTCTATGAAAATGTGTGTGTGTGTTGTGGTAAATCCTCCCCACTTAATAATTCAAACAAAAATGATTAATTAGAAATTATAATATAATTAAAAAATGATAAGCGTACTTATTGTGCCATCATAAGAAAGACACAGTAAGAGCTCTCAGTCTTGACATAACACTCCTCCGCCTCTTTCAGAGCTCATTTGCTTTTCAGGCCCCTGGCTCATTATAGTTGATGGGCCTTTTAATGGAAGAGATTGGCACTACATTTCAACATCATATTGCTCAACAAAAGATCCTTTGATCCTCATGAGGATCATTAAATAAAGCATTATTAGACTACAAAGACTGCGAAACATTTGACCTTCAGACCAGAAACAAAGAAATATAGGTCAATTCACTGATAGATGAACT